GTCGCCGGTGGCCAGCTCGAAGGCCTGGGAGGAGGAGAAGGTGAGTTGCGGGCCGGGGCGCGGCTCTGGGCCCGGGGTGGGGGCAGGCCTACCATGCACGCTGTGCTCCAGATGTCCGCCGGGGGCCCGTACTCCGCGCCGATCAGCACCTCCACGGCCCGGTACTGCCGCGTCTGGATGTCCTCGGTGAAGTGTTTGTGCTGGGGCCAGGGGAGCCCTTGAGGGGAGCCGGGACCGCAGCTGGCCGGTCCCCTGCTCAGCTCCCCGCTCTGACCCTGCACCGAGGGGCTCGGAAGGCCTTGCCTTGAGGGGTGCCGGGCATCCTGTGAAGGGGGGGGCCTCCTGCTCCCCGCCCGCCAGCCGGGTGGGACCGATGCTGGCTGGGCTCGGCCCTGGGTCTGCCAGGAGGCCGACCTGCAGGTGGGCCGATGACCCTGGAGGGCGAATGGGCATGCACGGGCCAGGTTGGGCCCCCCGGAACGAATTTGTGCCTCCACCCTGACACCAGGCTCCCCCTCATACCACCCAGCAGGCGTTGCCCAGGTCTGCGATCTTGATCTTGATCTTGTCTGCGTTCTGGGGCTCTAGGGGGTTCACCAGGAGGTTCGAGGCACCAAATGGTGCTAAGAGAAGGACAAGCAGGGAGAGGCTGAGCGAGCCCCTCCTCCTGACCCCTGCCTCCCGCCACCCCTGACTTACTGCTGGGCGACAGGAGCCCCCCCGTCTCCCGCCGGTTGGACGAGCCGGAGAGGATGGAGCACGAGGCCGCGGAGAAGAGGGAGCCGGAGAAGCCTGAGGTCTGGGAGCCAGGGCTGAGGCTGCGGTCACCCCCAGGGACAGGAGAAGAGGAGGCTGGGGAGGGGCCGCCTCGGGCCCCCCCCGGGTGGCAGCCAGAAGAAGAGGTGGAGCCGCTGCCCCCCTCCAGTCTGGAGCCAGAGTCTGGGGAGGCAGCAAGGGTGGCGAGTGAGCCGGGGCTCCTGGGCCGACGGCCGGCAGCCCTCACGCGTGGCCCCCGTGCCCTGCCCGCACCCTCTGCCTGCGCCGCCGCCTCCATGGCCTCCAGCCTCTGCAGGTCCCGCAGCCGCTCCTCCAGCAGCCGTCTCTGCTGCTTCCGCTTGCGCCTCATCTTCTTCCTCTTGTTTTTCGACAGTTTACCGGTCTGCCATTAGAGCCGGGTCACCCCAGGGTTCCCGTCCCATCCCCTGACCAGTCTGAGCCTCTGTCTTGGGGGACGAGACTGTGCCCCAGGGCTCCCGTGCACACCACGCGCGGCACTGCAGCCCTGTAGCCCACCCTTTGGCACGAGCCCCTCGCCCACCTCCTGCGTCCCCTTCTGCCCTCCACTTCCCGATGCCCCAGGTTGGGGAGTAGACGGGGCACCTGGCCCCTCCAGCCTGGCTATGGCGGCCTGAATGCGGCGTTCGTCCACGAAGGCCGCGGCCAGCCAGCAGCCGCCAAGGGCGGTTTGAAGCACGTGGCCCTGTGTCGCCCCATTCAGCCACCCGGGCTTTCGAAAGTGCCGCTGCAGGAGAGTGGTCGGGAGGCAAGCTCCAAGGGGGTCGGGGATGAGTGCAGGAACAGAGAGGCGCCCCAACTTACCAAGACTCCTGGGGGGCCGTGCTGACTGGGGAACAGGCGGAGCACAGAGTGGGGGTGTGGGGAGAGAAGGGAACAGACTCAGGCAGGGACAGACCCGGAGGCCCCGGCCCGGCCCGAGCAGACTCCGGGTACCTGTGGAGCGTGACGGCGGCGGCGCCCCTGACTGCTGCCACTCTGTGGCCTCAGCGGCCAGGCGCCGGATGTAGGCGTCGCCCACACACAGCAGGATGTTCTCAGGCTTGATGTCCGTGTGGATGATCTTGCACTTGGTGTGGAGGTAGTCCAGGCCGTGCAGCACCTGGAGAGACGCCCTCCTGAAGTCCGCCAGCCTGCGGGCGGCCGTGCAGGGCCCCAGACGCAGGCACCACGCACGCACCTGCCGCACAATGCTTTTGACGCAGGGCACAGGCAGCCCCTGGTAGTTGGACTTGATGATCCACTTGAGGAGTTGGTGGCCCAGGACCTCCAGCACCATGCACACATCTGGGGCCGGGAGTGAAGGGCGGCACGCGGCCATACATGCTGGCACAGGCCCCACATTCGGCTGGGATGGGCGCCAACAAGATGGGCGATGCAGAGATGGGGCAGGGCTGACCTGGGCAGGGCGGGCGGTCGCTGCCTGGCATTACAGGATCCGTGCCGCCCTCACGGGGGTGCCAGCTAGGAAGGTGCATTCCGTGGTCGTCCTGGGGACGGCGCCGGGAGAGCAGACCGGCCTCTCGGGCCAGCCCCGCTGCTGTGCCCTAGTGCGCCCAAGGGCCTCTGAGCAGCCCCCAGGGGAAGACAGGGCCACAGATGCAGCCCCTGCCATTTGAGGGTAACTCGGCGACTTCCGTGGATAATCAGACCCAACTTGGTTATGCACTCCCCGCGAGTGTGGGGGTGCTTCCTACACCAGTGTCCCTGGAAGGGGCAGCCCCATCGCAGATGAGCAGACGGAGGCCCCGGTAGCGTGAAAGGGGACCCCTGCCCTCAGCCCAGCCTGCAAAGGATACGGACACCGTTAACCCCTGAGATCCTGAAGTCGTCGATGAGCTGGACAATGGTCTCTCTTTTGGGGTCACTGGGGTCACTGTCTCGGACCTGCAGCAAAGTCATGGGGCCGCGGATGGCTCCCATCTGCCTCTCCCCCGGGCAGGCCGCGGCCCCTCCCTTGCCTCCTCCTCCAGCTGGAGCCGGCCCTCCGGGAGCCCCGCCCTCCCCACCGAGCCCCGGCTGGCCCTGCACCCAACTGCCTGGCCCGGGCGGCTCCAGGGCGCTCACACATTTCAGGAGCTTGATCTCATCCACAGCTGTCTCCGTGTAGTGCCCGGCGCTCTTCACCACCTTCAGGGCCACGAAGCGCTTGCGCCTGCGACCCGGAGAGCCGGTCGGCCCTGGCCAGACCCAGACTGCTATCGTGGGTGCCCCCACCCAGCCCCGGGGTCGGGTCCTAGCGGGGGGGGGGGGGGGGCGCTCACTGGATGTCCCAGCAGAGCCAGACGGTGGAGAAGTGGCCCCAGCCCAGCTTGCGCACCACGTGGTACCGCCCGTTGAACAGGTCCCCAATCTTTACGGGGTAGTAGCCGCCTGCGGAAGGGGGTGGAGAGCGTAGGTGAGGGCGGTCGCCTTCCCCTGCGCCCCGGGACACCCCTGCCCCTGGGCCCCCTGGCCCACGTGCGCCGGCTCCCGCCGCCTCCTCCCAGGCTGGAGCGGCCGCCCGGGTGGCTGCCTGCGCCCCAGGCCGGAACTCACCCTTGCAGTAGTCTTTGGGGTCCTCCTGCTCCTCGTCGTCAGAGCCCAGAAGCCCCTGCAGCATCCGCGGCACCGGCGCGGCCGGGGCCAGTTCGGAGCCCGAGGACTCGGGCCCGCAGGAGGCCTGTGAGCTGTGGGTGGGGTGGGCAGGCGGTGAGCACGCGAGGCACCAGGGGCCCCGGGTGCCCGGATCGGGCCCTACCTGCTGCTGCTGCCGCCGCTGTCCCTACCACCGCCCGCGCTGGCGTTCATCCCGGCGGAGCGGCCCAGTGCTCCGGCGCCCCGGGCAGCTGCTCCTGTGGGGCCCGGCCGCGGCCCGCGCATTTATAGCCTCGGCCGCTGATCTCACCCGCCTTTATAAATAGCCTCCCAGCTGCTCGGCTGTGGGCAAGGTATGCAGAGGGGAGGGGGCGGCGCGGCGGCCGAGATCCAGCAAGCCAGGCCCTCGGGACGAGCCCCCCCTACTCCAGGGATGGTGGAGTGGGCCACCTCGGGGGTGTGGCGGTGCTGGCCTTCAGGCTCAGCCTCTCCCCTGCAAGTCCCAGGACCGAGGGTGAGACCCGCACCGGGACGCGGCCACTCAGTCTCCAGGCTCGGCCCCTGTGCCCTGCACTGTGATAGCAACCCGGTCCCAGACTGAGCCCCGCACTGCATAGCTGGGTGAGGGGCTGCCACTCAAGGACTCGGGGGTCATGGTCATGGGTGCCGAGACTGAATCGCCGGTACGCTAGGGGACCAGCAACACTTTTGGAACATTCTCTGGCTTCCCTCCTGGCCCTTGTGGGGAGCCTCCCAGAGGCAACCCCTCGGTCACATGGGTGTCCCTTCCACTGCGCTCCCCTCCCGTTTCCTCCGTTCCTCTTGTGGTTCCCTGAGGCCGGAGCCCGGTGCTCTGCCCCTGCATGTGGTGGCCCTGGGGGCATCTGGTTGAGCGAGGGCGAGAACTGGCCTGGCCTGGGATCGTGTGCCACCGCCCCCCAGTGCAAGGGCTCTGGTTCTGCCAGCCCAGGCGGTCACTGCCACATGTGCCACGTGTCCCCAGGAGGCACGGGGAGCCGTCTGCGGACGAGCCCACACCTCAAGTGACTCGGCAGTGGCCTGGGGCAGGAAGAGTTGGGCCCTCGGAGTGACTGGGAGGGGGAGCCCAGGGGTCACGGCAGGGTGGCTGGATGGGGGAGGGGAGGTTCAGGGGCCGGGGGTGGGGGGCCCCGTTGGAACCTGTGGGCCCTTGTGTGGCAGAGGCTGCTGGGAGCATCGGCTCTGTCCGATGCTTACTGGCTGCTTTGAGGAGGGAACAGCAGGGCCGAGGTTGGGCCTGGGAGGGCACTCGGGGACTGTCAGGTCAGAATGAATGAATGAAGCCACTTGGCAGTGGCTGTGTTTCTCCCAAGATGGGAGATACTTGGTCCCATGTCCCTGTGCCAGGAGAGAACTTGTGAGGGGTGCGGAGGTGGGCAGAGCTGGAGGGCATGGGGGAGGCAAGAGAACACCGTCTAGGAGTGCCCGAAGACCCCCCCTCTTCCTCAGGCAGCAGAGGTCACACCCCGGGGGGGGGGGCTTTCTCTAAAAAGACATGTTTTCATTTTATTTCCACTTGTGATTCTCCAGAAAGCAAATAAATACAGTGGGGGGTCTGTGGGGGGAGGGTGGGGGTGGCTATAAATTAGAAAGAAGCCCTGGTGGGGAGAGGAAGCGCAGGGGCGGGGTGGGGGCCGGCCCAGCCCTATCCCACCAGCAGATCCGTCCTGGGGGCCTAAGGCGCTGTGGCTTCCTCCTGCTGGCTGAAGCGAGCTCACAGGTCGGTCACCTTGTTCTCCACCAGGGCAGCAATCTGCTGCAGGCGGCAGGCCAGCTGCAGCTTCTGGCCCACCGGGTCCTCCTCCAGGGCGCAGATGATCTGCCAGGGCAGAGGAGGGCAATGCCTGAGATTGCTGCCCTGTCCGAGGGCCCAGGGTCGCCAGCCCTGCTCCCAGGTCAGCGGGGCCTGGGGATAAAGAGAGGCTGCTGGGCCTCCCGGAAGAACCTGGCCCAAGGCAAGCCCTCGCCCAGCGCAGGCCCGCCCTCCCCTCTGCCGGGAGGCGGCCTGGCACCTCCACTCCCAGGGCCGATCCAGTGGGTCTTCCTGTGGGCTGAGGGGCATGCCTGGAGCACCCGGGCCTCACCTGGTCATAATACCTGTGGATGTGGTGGTAGAGTCCCTGCAGGGCCTCCAGACAGTGGGGAGCGGATGTGTAGTTCTGAGGGCAGCACGTGGGGGCAGAGGGATAAGGCCCCGGCCCCGGCTCCCTGCCTCCCTCGCCCATTGGTCCTCCCTCTCCCCCGACGCCAAGGGGTATGTCTTGGGCCACGCCTCACCCCGGAGAGCTCGGCCAGAGCCGAGTTCATCTCCTGATAGCCCGCTGGAGAGCTCTGGCGGATGTCGGCGTAGTACCTGGAGAAGGGCACGGGTGAGGGCCGGCACCCTGCCCCCGCATCCCTTCGGACTGCCGGCACCTACCTCTCCACCATCTGCTTGTAGCGAGGGATCTCCCGGGCATAGAGCAGCTTGTTCACTGGGGAATCCTGCTCGGGGCGGGGGTGGGCGTGAGCAGGGAGGCGGGGTGGGGGGGGTGGATCCGCATGGGCCCCCCTCACTACCCCCCTTCCTGCGCCCCCGCCCGGGTGTCCCCTCTAGGCCTGTCCTCCTGGCGCCCGCCTGCAGCGTCGGCCCCGCCCTCACCCGGCCCACTTTGTGCTCTGAGATGGTGCAGGCGTCGATGAAGGTCTGGGCGATGACGGCGAGGGTGGCGTCCACGTTGTCCGACACCCGCATGTCGAAGATGAGCTGTGGGTTCTTCAGGGTGTTCACCCAGAACCGCAGCAGCAGGCTGGGGACACGGGCGGCCGCGGCCATGAGGAAGGTCCTGCCTGGCTCATGCCCCCAAGCCCGGTCCCAGCCCCGAGCTCCGCGGGGAGCGGTCCTGAGTCCATGCAGGCACCCGGGGTGGGTGAGGCCGCCGACCTGGCTTCCCGCCCCGCCCTGCGGCCGCGCCGAGGGGGTGTCCTGGATCCTCCAGCCCCTCTGCAGGGCGGCGAGGCAGACCTGTTAGTTTTCCAAATGTGCAAGGTCTCTGGGTCCTCGATGCCATGCCTCTGGGCCAGCTCATCCAGGAAATCAAACAGGTACTTCACGGCGATGGGCACGGGCCGGTTCACGCTGAGGATGGCCTGGAAGGTGTCGTCCACGAATTTCTGCAGCGTGCCCTGGAGGGGGGAGGAGGACCGTGGGGCCCCGGCGGTGCCTCTGCGGGCCCGGGCCCTCTCCCCAGCTCAGTCTAGGGGCCCCTGGATGAGCTTCCCCAGCCACCTGCCTCCCCTGGAGCCCGGCTCCCTGGCCACGCTGACCTTCATGGAGAGCAGGCGCGTGAGGTAGATCTCGGGGATGGCCTTGGCCCGTGCCCGCTGCCGCTCCCGCTCCCGCAGGCTGCTGCGCCGCGTCTTGGCCCCTTCTGGCTCTTCGGCGGCTTTCACCAGGTGCCAGAGGCGCACCCCGCCCTCCTCACCATCCTCCAACATGGGGGTGTCTGATGGCACGGAAGCCTGCGCTCAGCCCTCTCCCCCACCCTGCAGTCCCCATGCAGCACCCGGGGTCCGTGACGCCACAGGCCTGGGCAGGCGGGGGGCACCGAGCAAAGCAGGGGAGGAGAGACACAGAGGGGAGGGGGCGGCCCCGGCCCAGAGCCCCCTGACCCTGCGCGGGACACGCTGCGGCCTCCCCTGCCCCAGCCCCGGGCTCAGCTCGCACCTTGGGCTTGTGTGGCAGCAAGGGCAGGGAACCCAGGCCATGTGGGTGGCACGCGGGGGGGGGGCCTGCCTGCCCACCCCAGCCCTGGGGCCAAGGACTCACTCTCCCCAGAGGGACAGCTCGGGGCTGGGCTCTGGGAGATGGCGCCTCCGTTAGGCAGCTGCGGGATGAGCCCCACCGTGGCTCCATCCGGGACCTGCAGGGGAGGGAAGCAGAGGCTGGGCACCTTCCCTGGCAGATTCGAGCCGGGGGCCTCCCTCAGCCCCCTGCCCCCCGCACCTTGTAGTGCTGCAGGGTGTTGAGTCTCTTCCAGCGGTTGTGCGTCACCGAGGTCAGGTCCTCGTCCGACAGGGTTAGGTGACCAGCCAGTCCCGAGCGCCACTCTGGGGGGACCCAGGGGAGCTGATCAGCCCGCTGCCCTCTGCCTGGGTGCGTGCTGGGAGCCAGGCAGAGCTGAGCATCACAGGTGGGGAGGGCTGGGAAGGGTCCCTGGGGCAGGTTCTCTCACCAAGATCTAGGGCATGCACTGAGGGCCTCTGGGAGAAGGGGGTGCCCCTGTAGACTTGGTCCAACACCTTCTCCTTGACCTGGGTGATGGTGTCCGTGTCCAGCACCCGCGTGGGCACATGCTGTGCCGTGGCGCTCCCTGTGGCCCCGCCTGCCCCGGGGCCTGGCAACACCATGAGCGTCAGGGGGCGGAAATCCACATCCTCCCGCAGCAGGCGGCTGTCGTTCAGCGTCCGTTTCGCCTTGCCCGTCACGGCATCCACAGGGCCCTTGTCCACCTGGCACTGGATGGCCCGGAGGAGCATGTACAGTGGCTCACCAGCCACCTCCTGCAACCGTCAGGGCAGCTGGTATCACCAGGGGTGGGGGCAGCGGGCAGCACAGAGCTGGGCGGACGTGACGACCCCCAGCTCAGAAACCCGCTCAGGGCCCTTCCCTTTCAGTCCCCCTCCCGCCATGCCCCCAGGCCCCTGGGGAGTTTGGGCAGAAGTCAGCGAGTCCACAGGCAGCCGCCCCCAAAAGGGAGCGAGGGGAAGACGGTGCTGTCCGGCGCCTCTCACCTTCAGGAAGGCGTAGAGGCAGATGGCCAGCCAGTTGGTGAGCAGCTTCTCCACCATGGTCTCTGTCCTGCAGGGAGCAGGTCGCGGGGGTTGCGGGGCGGCCCAGGGGCAGGGGCCACCTCAGGCCAGGGCGGCTGCCAAGGGGGAGCGACCTTGGGGGGTGGGGCCAGGGTCGACGCGCACCTGCGCAGCATGAGCTTGGGGTTCTTGTGCACGTAATGGGCCGCCAGGTCTCCGAGCAGCGTGGTCAGGATGTCCGTGAGGTACTCCAGCTTGCTGTGCAACGCCAGGGACAGCAGCGAAGCCACGTGGCAGCGGTCGCGCTGGGAGAAGCTGGGCTGCTCCTCCAGGGTGTGGATGAGCTAGGCCGAGGGGGCGGGCACTCAGGGCAGGAGGCCCCTGGCGTCCTCCCATCCCCGTGCCCCCGCTGGGCCCGGCCCATCCAGGCCGTGGCCCACCGCACGGCCCTCACCGTCAGGAGGAAGAGCTTGCTGTTGAGCAGGTTGGAGAGCTGCGTGAGGCCCTGGCGCACGGGCGCCCGGCGGCCCTCTCCCCCAGCCCCCTCAAGGACCGGCTGCAGCGGGCAGCCACCGTGCCCAGGGAAGAAGACGCGCTCGGCGTAGGTGCGGTAGTCCAGGAAGGGGATCCCGCTGGCCTCCAGGTCGCTGCTGAGGTCTGTCATCTCGGTCATCAGGTCTGCGCGCCAGAAGCCGCTGAGGTGTGGGCTCAGGCCCGGGGGGAGCCTCGCTACCCCTCCCCACCGCTGCCTCTTACCTGTGAATTCCTTGCGGCACTGGTCACCCACCCCAATCTCCAGGTTCTGCAGCTGCACCAGGACCTTCCGGTAGTCCCGCCGCGCCTGCTTGCTCTTGTGCCTGCAGCACGGGACCCGCTGTCGCCGCCAGAGTGGCCACCTGCCAGGGGCCTGCATGGGGCACCCCCTCCTCCCCACAAGGACGAGGACGCTCTGCCCAGGCGCGCGGCGGGCAGAGGCTCACCTGTACATGAGCGTGAGGAGGAACACAGCGGCGATCAGCACGCCGGCACCCAGACCCAGGCCCAGCTGCGCCTCCGCGGGGAAGGCGGGCGGCGCGGGCTCAGCCTCGTACTGCACCGGGCCCAGGGCCAGTCGCATGTTGCCCATCTGCACCTGGGAAGGGCGACGGGGCTCCTGAGCGCCGGCCTCAGTGCCCGAGGCACCCCCCAGTGCCAGGGCTCAGCCTCACCACAAACTGCGGCAGGGGGCCGGAGCCGTTGACCGGCTGCGGGGCCCGGGGCGGCGGCTCGCAGTACAGGTGCGTGAGCGTGAGCGTCTTCACCAGGCACTCGCTGTCGCCGATGTGCACGCGCACCTCCTCCTTGCTGATGCCCAGGCTGAGGCCCTCGCCCTGGAGCGCAGGCGGGGCCTGAGCCTCAGCGCAGCCTGTGTCCACAGGCCTACCCCAGCCCACCCCAGCCCTCACCTCCACATCCAGGACGTGGCCAGGCTTGAGGCGGTAGGGGCGTGCTGGCCCCTCACGGCTGAGGGGGGCCAGGCGGGGGTTGGGCTGGTACAGGAAGTCCTGGCCCCCGCTGGCGCTGGCGAAGTCCACGCGCAGGTTATCAAGGGTGAAGAAGACCCGCTGGGGGCGCGCCGTGTCTGGCACAGAGGGGCTCCGGCACAGGAGGAGGGTGGACGAGTTGACCGAGCAGACGGTAGAGCACTGTGAGGCAGCCGGGCCGGATGAGGGGGTGAGCCGGGCTCTGCTGCCGGCTGCTGCTGGGGCATGGTGGCGGCCCAGCCCACCTCCCTCTTGGGCACAGCCAGGGGTAGCCACGTGGCTCACCTGCAGCAAGCCCCCCTCAAGCTGAATACAAGCCGGGGGGGGCATGGCGGGAGCCCCACAGCTCCTCCTTGGAGCTGGGTCCTGGGGCCACGCCCCTGCTGTAGCCTGTAAATCTCCCTGGACCTCCAGCCACACAGACAGCCGGGGCCACCTCACCACGTCCAGGCCAGTGCCCCTGACTCGGATCAGCCGTCCGCCCCTGTGCCGGGACAACAGTCAGCAGGGTGGGGGCAGCGGCAGCCCAGCCCCTCCTCCTTGCTGCCCAGGTGGGGCGCACAGGCTGCCTGGGGTGAGCACGTCCTCACCCTCGGAAGCTGACGCTGGGCTCTGCCGCCAGGAGCTGGGGGTTGGCAGTGTAGCGGAAGGGGCTGGCGCGAAGCGTGCGCTGGGCCTGGCCGAAGACCACGCGAACCGCTGCTTCCCCTGGGGCAGCCCAGGGCATGGTGTGGCACACAATGGCCTCAGGACATACCGGCTCTTGGCTGCAGGGTGGGGAGGGGTCTGGCGTCGTGGGTTCTAGCCTGGGCTGGGCCGCCGCACGAGAGGCTCGTTCTGCCTCCCCTAATGAGGGCAGAGACCCCTGGGAAGCCCTGAGACCACCTTCCCCTGTTGTATACTGGAGGGCCCGAGGCCCACAGGGTGCGCCCCCAGTCACAGGTACTCACATGGGGCAGGGCTGGCTGCCCACGAAGGCGCTGATGTTGCCTCCTGTCTGGAGATGCCACCCATGGATGGTGAGCTGGGTGCCACCTGCTTGGGGGCCGCTCTGGGGACTCAGGCTGAGCAGGACAGGGTCCTAGGGAACAGGGCGGGCTGGAGTGGGCATGGCAGCCTGGCCCGGCACGTCCTAACGCCAGGTGCAATGCCAGTTCCAGGCGCGGCTCTGTGCCGAGCTCTCCTCAACTCTGTGCCTGCCCCGCTGGCGGGTCTTCACTCCTTGCATCTCTGCCCCAGGGGACTGCCTCCTCACCCACCACGCCTGCTCCTCCCGGGTCCACTGAGCTTGAGCCCCTGAGATCGCAGGAGTCCAGCAGAACTCTCGATGCTCCCCTCCCCTGGGCCTCCCGGCCCCGTGGCGGCCCAGCAGGCACGTGGGGTTCAAGTCAGTGCCTGGAGGCAACTGGTGCCAGGGCAGGCCCCCACAGCTCCAGGGCTGCCATCCCGCCACCTGCCCAGCCAGCGGCCGCCTCCTTGTGTCTGCCGTGTCCTCTGCTGCCCCCAGCCTGCCCTGCACTCTGTGGCCTGAAGGCCTCGGGGCCCGTCCCTTCCTGCCCTCCTTCCCGCTGTTCTCCACGCAGGGACCACGCCAGGGTGGGCACTGACCTGGTAGGTGAAGTGCTGGGTGGAGATGCCAGGTGATCGACTCTTGATGGCCACTTGGACAGGCCCCGTGGTGCCATTGGGGGCGGGGGATGTCACACACACAATCCTGGGGAGCAGAGGCCCAGCAGTCGCTCCCCGGCTGGGAGCCATGGCCGCCTCCCAGGCACTGCCCAGGGCTGCCCCTCCACCCCTTCCTCTGCCTGCTCTTCTCCCTCCCGGTCCCCCCTCCCCTGGTGCATCTGCCCCAGGGCCCACATTCCTTGGCTGCCAGCCTCCCTTCTCCTTGGGTGGCCAGTGACTGAGGACCTCCCCGAGGGTGTCCCTCTGCCCCCGCCACCTGTGTGTCTCACCGGGCAGAGGTGCGGTAGAGAGAGGGGTCGGGGCTGCAGGGCCGGCCAGCCACGCTCACAGCATCCCGCACGTCAGCAAAGCCCCGGCCCAGGTTGGAGCCCAGGATGGTGAGGGCCAAGCCGCCCTCTGGGGGGCCAGTCAGGGGCTCTACCTGTAACAGGGAAGGATGGTGGGTGCGGTCCCCCAAGCTCACAGCCCACTCTCCGTGCCCCGCCAGCCGAGCGCCTAGAGCTGGGGGGCCTGAGGCTGAGCCAGGCAGAGGGGCAGGTGAAGCCTCGGGGGCGAGCTGGGGTGGGGACTCACTGTGTTGATGCTGGGCTTGGGACACAGGGACTCCACGGCCTCGGGCGGGCACAGCGGTCCATAGCGACAGGCCGGCTGGTCGTGGCTGCACCAGCGGCAGCCCAGGCTCCCGTTGGCGGCCTGGCAGTGGCTGCAGTCAGGGTGGCCCACAGCACAGTCGTACAGGGTCACTAGGGAAGGTTGGGCGGTCACTGAGGCCCCTCCCTGCTGCCATCCGCCCTGCCCGCCCGCCCGCCCTGGTGCCCCCAGGCGCACCATGAAGAGAACGGGCATTGTCCAGCCGCTGGCCCTCGCCTCGGGTGACGTAGATGGGCACTGGGAGCTCCCGCTGGGCCATGAAGGGGTGGAACTGTGGGTGGAGGGTGGCGTCAGGCCCAGCCCCACTCCAGATCTCCCTACCTCCTCCAGGACACCCCTCCAAAGGGTGCCGCTGTTGAGGGCCCACCTTTCCCAGCAGTCAGCACACCATATTCCCTCCCGCTGCCACCCCGTGCCCGCGCCAGCTGCAGAAGGGGAGCCCCTGGGGCCCAACACAAGCGGGGAGGCCAGGTGTGGGGGCCGCTCACCTGCTGGGCCTGGCAGGCGATGAGGCCCTGGTCCCCGGCCACCTCCTCCAGGGAGGCCGGCAGCCTCCGCACCTCTCCGGGCAGCTCCAGCCAGCAGTGGTAGGAGGCAGGCAGGCCCTGGAGGGGGACGCCGTCAGGCCCTGGACACGGTCCGCCCCTCGCTGCGGTCCCCACCCCTGCCCACTGGACCACTCACCCGGAAATGCTGCAGGTTCCGAACACGCAGGACCAAACGGCTCTCCCAGCCCACGGGCACCAGTGAGGGGCCTGCCAGGTCCTCAACCTGGGGGCAAGCCCCGGGGCCACGTACCTGAACTTCCTCCTGGGGAAAGGGGTTCCTGAGCCCTTTGGAGGCAGAGGCGCCGGGACAGGGCGGGCGAGGCGCTCGGCAAGCCAAGACCCGCAGAGCAGGCGGTGGCGGCGGGCACACACCCACCTCTTGGACGCTGTAGATGATCCTCCCGTCCTCCGGGCAGTGTTCCCCAGAGACACAGCGGCTGCTCTGGGGGCACCAGTGGCATCGCCAGGGGCTGCTCACACAGGCCCGGCACCTGCAAGGCCGGGGGTGGCTCAGGTTGGACTCTGTCTGGGGGTGCCGTCCCTACCCGGTGGCAGCCAGGCCTGGCACTCACGGGGCAGCCACCTCCAAGGCCTGGACAGCACTGCAGTCGTAGAAGGAGAAGTTGGTGGTGGCCACCGGCACGTCCTCGAACATCAGGGCCAGGGGCAAGGTGACGTGGTCTGGGAGGGCATGGCCGTGGCAGACCGGTGAGGGGGTGCCTGCCCCTTCGGCTCCTGCCCCCTCCCCGCAGCGGCCCCTCACCTGTGCCCGGAGGGTTGAGCGGCAACTGGTCTTGGGGAGGGGTGACGCAAGCCACATGGGCGCCCTCCACGTGCGCCAGGCTGTCGTAGCCCCCGAAGGCGCAGTGGAAGTACTCGTCCGCCGCCAGGCCGGGCAGGCGGGGCACCGACAAGGCGACCTGAAGGCGCGGCGGGAGAGCAGAGCGTGGGGGCTCCTGGGGGGTCCTCGCTGGAGGGAGAGGGCCCCAGGGCAGAGTGAGGAGCGCGACGCCTCACCTGGCCCTGCTCCTCGCGGGGGTGCTGGGCCGGCAGCAGCCCCTGGATGCGCAGGCAGCCGCCGTCCGGCTCGTAGCTCCACAGCCACTGGTGGGGCTGGGCCGCCCGCCCGCACCGGCTCCGGCGGGTACACCTGCGGGCAGGGCCATTGGGTCGCTGTGCGGGGCTTGGACTCCCGGGGTGGCCGGCGGCCCGGGGCTGGGAGGATGCCCGGCTGGGGCACCGCGAACAGAGGGAGCGTGAGGGCGAGCTCCGAGTGGGAGGGGCCGAGAAGTGTCGCCCGCCCAGCACCGACTTTGGCCTTGACTGAGTTTGGGGCTGCCGCGGAGGGGAGGCGAGAACAGTGGACCGAGGGTCGCCCTAAGGGCTTTCTGGGCCCTCCACGCGGAGCCTGGGCGGGAGGGAAGCGGGAGCGGGCCAGGGGGCACCTGGGAGTACCGATGCAGGCCTGGCCCGCGCAGGGGCTGGGGGAGGGTGGAGTGAATGGGTGGGGCAGTAGCAGGAAGAGGGTGCCAACCAGATTCCAGGCTCCGGGGATGGGGCAGCCTGAGGACTTGGCAGTGGCCCCGTCTCCACCTCGGGGAGCCAAGCTGGCACCGCTAGAGCCCCAGGCAGTTTAGTTTCAGCCAACACATACCCCCCTGGTGGCCCAAGGCTGGGCGCAGGCCCCACGTTCACCTGCCCTGGAGGACACACCAGCCGCACAGTGGGTCCCGGGCCTGGAGGCAGCTGGCACAGTCAGGGAACTGGAGGCAGGCCGCCACGGGTACCCGGTCCACCTGGACGGGCAGCGGGGGACAGAGGTGGTGGGTGCAGAGACTCGGACCTCAGGTGCCCGGCCCCGGGACAGCCCTCACCTGCTGAGCAGTCAGGACATAGAGGTGGCTGCCACTGCTGTCCAGCAGCAGGTCTGGGCCGATGGGGGAGTCTGGAGGCCCCACCTGCTGGGAGTGGTACAGTTGGCCTTGGGAGCCGTTGAGAAAGACCTGGGGGGCAAGAACAGGGCTGGGATGGTCATGTGCAGTCTCCCCAGCTGGCGGTCCCAGGGGACACTCCATCCCAGTGCTGGGGCTCTTCCTGCTGGATCAGGGAGGCCAGCCCGTGCCATGGGGGTGGAGGGGCGGGGACTTCCTCAGCTGGGGTGAGGCCCTCCGCTACAAGAGGGTGTCCTGCCAGGCAGGAGAGCAACTTTGGGAGGACAAGCAGGTCACAAGGAAGCAAGAGTTTGCCTCCGAAAGACTTCTGGGGCCAGGCTGGGCCTGAAAAGCTGGGATTGCCTCCCGTGCCACCCCCTTCCTTGGCCGCGGGGCGGCCGTCCTCAGCCCCTCGTCAGCAAGCTGCAGCCAAGGTGGCACCCCCCAGTCATCCACGCATGCTGAGGCTCCCTGCGGCCACGGAGGGCAGGGGCCTAGCCGGAGGGGTCAGCCCAGGGGCTGGCGCAAGGGCATCCCCTTCTCCACCCTCACCTTATGCAGCCGGCCCCGGGTGTCCCCAAGAAAGGCTATGGTGTGCCCGTCTGCCTGCAGAGCGGCCACAGCGCTGACGGGCTGCTGCAGCTGCAGCAGGGGCCCGACCTCCAGGGGCTGGCGGCCGGCAATGGGGCTGGGGGTGTGCTCGTCGCCACAGGGGTACGACTCGGGGGAGTCCTGGGCAGGCAAGGAGGAGCGTGTCAATTCCCAGAAGAGGTGGCGGGACCTTCTCCAGGGCCAGAGGGACAGTGACAGGGGACCGGGAAAGCCAGGCAGCCTAGTGGGCAGGGACAGGGAGGCCGGGGGCACCAGGGGCAGAGTGATCAGGCCAGAGCCCTGGGCAGGACAAGCTTGTCCCACAGAGAGGTGAAGACTAACTCCCAGCGACAGACTGAGGGCAGGTAGGGGACATGGAGAGCGTGTGGCCCTCCTTGACACCCTCAAACCAGCAGGTCAGGGTGATGCGGGAGATGCGGGACCTAGCTGGGGAGCCCCCCACCTCCCCAGCTAGGTCCCCGCCAAGCAAGACCAGGCACAGCCAGAGAAAGGTGAGAAGGCCACTTACCGGGGGCAGGGTGACACAGCGTGACGTGACGCCGTACTCCACAGCAGCCTCCTCCTCACCGCCGGGGCCCCGGCCGCCAGCGGTGTAGCAAAGGCGCCGGGCCCGCTCCATGCTGCTATCCAGCTCGGCCAGGGGGAAGGCACACAGGGCGGCCTGTGTGCCCCTCAGGCCAGTGGCAAACGCCCCCAGCAAGATGCCTGGGGCGAGGAAGGCAGCCTGGATGAGGCCCTGGCCCCGGCAGGAGAGTGGCACCTCCACGTAGGAGTAGAGGTTGGCATCCCCCAGACAGACGCGGGCCACGTAGGAACGGTACTCAGCCTGCGAGCGGGCCCCGCGGCGGCGGAAGACAAAGTAGGCTGAGCGGGCATCGGCAAAGGCGCCCACGTAGGTGCTGTTGTAGTCGGAGAAGTCGCCTACCACCAGGCGGCCCAGGCCCTCGCTGGAGAAGGGCTGAGGCCCGGCCAGCTGGCGCACCGTCAGCGGGGGCACCCCACCAGACAGCTTGCCCGCCAAGCCTCTGGCCACGAGCAGGAGGTCGCGGCCTGGCGCCACTACCACCAGGCCCACCGTGGCCACTCCCGGGGTGTTGGCGGCCACAAACTGCCCATCGCCAGGGTCCTCGGCCTGGTACAGCACCATGGCCACGTCCCCGAGGCGCCGCTTCTCGCACACGCCCTGCCGCACCTGCCCGCAGGCCACCAGCTCCCGGGCCCGGCTGCTCACCAGCAGCAGCTGGTTGGCGTTGTCCATGAGCCGGGCCTGCGGGCACTCAGCTGGGTCGCGGAAAGGCACGCAGTCAGGACTGTCGAGGACGGGGCCCGTGACGGCCACAGCTTGTAGCTCCAGCGCCGGGCCGAGCTGGAACAGGCGGTTCGCTGCCCCGACGTAGAGTGTGTCGCCGGCCGGGTCCAGCGCCAGGTGGTAGAAGGTGGTGTTGGGAGCCGAGAAGCGGTGGGCCTGCGCCGGGGGCGGTGGCGAGCGCAGCAGCAGCAGCAGCAGCAGCAGCAGCAGCGCCGGCAGCAGGGGGGGCCAAGGGGCGGCCTGGGAGTCATCACCGGGCTTGGGGGGCACTGAGCCGCAGAAGGCCTGGTGGGAGGGAGCGTGAACCAGGCCGAAAGTCCGGCCGATGGGAGGAGAGAAGAATCCAGAAAGGGGGGGCGGGGAGGGGAAGCAAAGAGACAGAGGGAGACAGAGAGAGGACAGAGAGGGACCGAGCGCGCGCGCGAGATGGCGCGAGTAGGCTGGCACGTGTGCACGGCGCGGGCGAAGAATCTCTTCCGTGCACTGTGCGCGGTCTAGCGCGCTGAGGACTGGGTGGAAGGACGAGGGCGGAAGGACGGCTGATGGGGGGCAGCGATGCGAAGACAAGAGACCCCCGGAGAGGGCGAGCAGGAGGACGCGGCAGGGGTGAAGCTGGGGAGTGCCGGGGGCGGGGGGCAGTGCTCGGCGGCGGGCAAGGGCCAGGAGGTCAGGGGCAGCTCGGAGGACGGGGGCGAAGGAAGGCCAGTGGCGTGACGGCTAGAGGCGGGAGGCCAGGGGTACAAGGCAGGAAGACACCATTAGGGGGAGAAAGCTCACCCTGGGCAGCCCCTGGAGGAGATCTGGAGAGAGGAAAGACCCAGGGAGAAACTGAGGCAGCCAGAGAGCTGCAGGCAAAGGCATGGTCAACGGCTTCCAAGGCCAGGCCCAAAGATGGCCGGAGCCGGGCCTGCTGGGCAAGGCTGCGGGCAGAGCTGGGAGCCAGCTGGAGTGGGGATACGGAATGGGGATGCCTAGCCCCTGCCCATGGGCCCCAGGGTCCCTGTGGGCCTGGCTGGGGCCAGGAGGATCAGGGGAAGGGTGAGAGAGGAGAGCGCGGGGAGCGAGGAGGGCCAAAAAGAGCAGCGGCAGGGGGAGGGGCAAGGCCCCCACCTGCGGGGAGCCTCCAGGGGAGGGGCTGTGTCCCTGCACCCCCAGCCTGCCTGCAACAGGGAGCCGAAGCAGCAGCGGCCACAGTTGAGGGGTCTGCCAGGCCTGCACGAAGAGGCAGACACGCGAGAGAGCCCCTAGCCCGGTGCTCCCCGCCCCTCCTTCCTCCTGGCTCCAGGCGCAGAGCCACAGACAGGGGGAAGGAAGCCAGATGCCAAGTGGAGCTGGGGTCCGCCTATCTGGGCTTGTGGGCCTGCACGTGCCAGCCAGGAGTGTGCCCGCTGTCACTCAGGCCCCGGAGCCCTTATCTCAGGGACAAAGACAGGAAGGTCAGGCCTGGCTCGGACGGGGCCATTTCCTCCAGGCCGTGCTATCGCCAGGCAGCAGTGTCTGGGACTCGTGGGTGAGGGGGCAGGGGGAGCCCCGAGCCCCAGCTCCCATGCCAGCTTCCCTGCCCAGCCCCTTCCGAGGCCGGCTCTGGGGACACCAGGGGACCCAAGCACTTACCGCCAAGCAGGGGAGCAGCAGAGGGGTCTCCTCAGTTCAGCGGCCCCGGGACAGTGGTGATGGGGACAAGATGGCTGTGGGGGTCATTGTCCTGAGTGGGAGGGAGACAGTTGGGGCTCGGCCCCATTCACACGGACCCGGGGGAGGAGCCAGGGCAGGGGGCAAGGGCCTGGCGGCAGGGCTCCACCACAGCTGGCAGCTTTGTCAATAGTGGCCGCGCCAAGGCAGCCCTGCCTCCACCCCAACAATGTCCCTTCTGTGCAGAGCCCAGGCCAGGGACCCACTGTTGGGTGCACTTACCCCCACCAGCGCTGCTGTGGCCAGGGGGCTCCCTGTCACTCCCTACCCCCGGAGAGATACCCCCAGGATCTGGGGACAAAGGGACAGGCTCTCCTCCAGTCAGGAAAATGGAACCCACACAGTCGGCCCCGCCCGATGCCAGCAGAGCCAGCTCCCCCGTGGCCCCCACGTCCCTGCGGAGGGCACAGGGCAGGCCACGGAGCCCCCAGGGGAGGGTCAGGGTGCTGAGCCCCTGCATGCCAGCCTCAGCCTTGGTAGCCTTGGTGCCTGGCCAGTGCCAGGCTGGCCTCAATGCCTGCCTTTGTCCAGGCTGGGGGCAGGGGAGATGCTGACAAAGGCAGCGCGTCCCGGAGAACTTCTTCCCCCACCCCCAAGCCCCCACCCCCTTGGCCGTGAATGAGACTGGCCAGAGAGCAAGTGACTGGGCAGTTCCCAGCCACTGCCACCCTTGGGACTGGCAAAGTCGTGCCAGGTACAGCATGGTGGCAGTGGGCAGTGCCAGCAGAGGATGCTGCTGGAGGGGGCTGAGGCACAGGGGGGCACAGGAGGGGGTGAGGGCATGGCTCATGGGGAACCCAGCCTTGAACTTAAGGCTTGGAATCCAGTGGCTGGCCGCCCCCCGCCCCCCAGCCCTGTCCACGGCAACACCAGCCCAGGATATGCCTGAGCCCCCAGGGAATGTGAAGGGAGTGGTGGCAGGCAGCTGCCCCCGCTGCAGCCCTCATGGGGCACCATCTGCATGCCAAGCCAGTGGAGCAGGGTCCTGGCTCGAGGCACAGGGGCCGGTGTGCTTGGGCCCGGGCCCCTGCCTTCCCCAAGGTGCCCAGCAGCAGCAAGTTTCAGGGCAAGGTGGCAGCGGCAGGGCTTGCTGCCACCTGGCTGGGCCGGTTGGGTGGCTGTGGGGGCGGGGAGCCAAGCAAGCAGTTTCCTTTCCCTGTCCCTGCCAGGGCGAGGGTGGGCTTTCTCATTTGGGGGCAGAAACCAGGTTCCTACCTCCCAGCTGCAGGGCCACCCCTTCGAGGGGCACTGTGCTCCCAGACGTCAAGAGATGTGGTGGCAGGGCTGGTGCTGGGACACCATGGCTTTTGCCCCATCTGGGCCAGTCAGCCCTGTGGACCTCAGGTTTCTCCTGGACCCCGCGCGTCCCCAGATGGCATCTCCAACCCACTGCCCCTGCACCCTGTGTCCATGCCTGCCCCCAGCTGCTGCCTACCTGGGCGGCCGATGGCAGGGGCTGAAGAGCAGCTGACGGTGCCAGGCGTGCGTCCCAGCAGAGCCCGGGCCTCCCTCCCCACAATGCAATCGAGCCCAGCCCGACTTATGCAGCTGCCCGCCCTCCCCGCCCGCCCCTTTGCCCCACGGCCCAGGACGGGGTGCTGCTGCCCTCTGCTGGCTATGGCCGGCATGGCGGAGGGCCAGCTGTGGGCCCCTGGTGGAGCCGGTGCCAGTGAGCGGTGCCCTCCCAGCAAGTGGACAATCGGGCCATCCATGAAGTTCCTACTGAGGGGCCCGGTACAGGTGCTGTTTGGAGAGGAAGCACAGCGCTGAGAGTCTTGGCTCTCAGGGACAGAAGCCACTGCCAGGAGAGTGTCAGGAGGGGGAGTCAAGACAGGGCTGCTGAGGTTCTGGGGGGCTGCACAGAGGAAGCGGGGAGTAAGCTGACTGTGAACCAGCCAGTGCTGCCTGTGTGTGTGTGTCTTCCTGACCGCCAGGCTCAGTCTTCCATGTGAGGCCACTCGTGCCGCCTTCCGGGACAGGTAGCTGCTCCCCCGGTTCACAGGTGGGGACATGGAGACCCAGGAGGTCAGGAAATTTGAGTGAAGTCGCAAGGCCGAGAAGTGGCGCGGCTGCGGCGGCCCGTGGCCCGGAGTCGGGCCCTGAGCCTGGCCGGCGCTGGGAGGCCTGGGAGCCGCTGCGGCCAGCCTGCAGGGGCCATGCCCCCCAGCGTGGGAGGCCGTGGGCACCTGCTGTGCCCCGGGCCTGCGTGAGCTCAGGCTCGCTCCTCTGTCCTCCTTGGGACCAGGTCTTGACACTTGACTTCTCTTTGTCCTCTTCTGCCTCCTCAGGCTCCTGCTCGCGGTGCGCTGCTCCTCCTCGTCTTTCAAAGTATTCTGGGGCCTTCGACTTCCCTTACAAGTTTCAGACCCAGCGGGTCGAGGTCCAGGACAAAAGGTGGGAACAGTCTGGAAGCGACAGATGAGGGGTTTTCAGTCGCTCAAGTCTTGCGTTTGCGCACGGATGAGCGCCGCACCGGCTGGCCGCGGCTTGCCCTCGAGGTCCACCGGGGCGTTCCCTGCTGCGGCGTCACCAGGGCCGTGCTCGTCCATGCCGCCAGGGGCCCCGTCTTCTTTCAGAGTCACCTGCTGCGTGTGTTGCTGCGGACATGTCACCGGCTGGCTGCTGCGCGAGGACGCGGGGAACCGTGACTCTGGGTTCCTCTGCGGGTCTCGGTTTCGTCTTTCACCGTCATGGCCGCCGCCAGCGAAGGCCGCGAATATCCCCGTCACCACCCCTTCGGGGGCCTCGCGGTCCTGGACAGCACAGCAGGGGCCGGGCCTGGGGGAGCCTCCAGGGGCGGAGCCTCGAGGGGGCGGGGCGCTCTGGCCGCTCCAGGGGTCACGCGCTGTGGATTTTATCCAGGGCCCTTTGGGGCGCGTGGACGCCGCGGCGGGGCTTGCCCCCCCCATCGGTAAAGTGTCCTCGATCGTTTTCCAACGTCAAGCCACCGTCGCTTTTTCTGCGCTAAACTGCACTTTGTCAGGGTGAAGTTTTTTCAAATACGAGTCTTCTGGATTGGCTTCCCATGGGTTGGGGGACAGTATTTCTTGTTCTGTTTCCTGTAACAGCGCAGGTAACAGAGGGGTTGCCGCTCCCTGGAAGCAAGCTTGGGAGAATCAAATCGTCTGCAAAACCACTGAGGCTTTCCACGTTTTTGTAGTCTCCAGCCGTCCCTTCATAGATTTTAAACTACTGGTGCAATTGTGGAAATAATCGTGGGTGGGGCTCTTCAGGCTTCTTCTCGAGTCAGTCTTTTTTGGGGTAAAAATACATGACAAAGGTAGCACCTTAATCATGTAGGTGGACAGTTCAGCGGCATAATGCGCGTCGCACCTGTCTCCAAAACTTTTTCTTTTTTTTTTTTTAACATTTATTTATTTATGCACACAAGAGCTGCGGTACAGGCCAGACGTGGTGCGGGGAGGGGATTCACCACAGAGAGAGCGGGGAGCAGAACAGGCAGACTGACTGAAATCCACTGCTAAGGGGAGCAGCGGGGAGACAGGAGAGGTCTGCTGCGCCATGGGGTCAGCTCCCTGCCCAGGGATCAAACTTGTGCTGCAGTGGCTGCGGACAGCTTCACAGTGCTGCATCTTAACCCGTTGCACCATCAGGGAGGCCCCTCCAGAACTTTTTAATCTTGCAAAACTGAAACTCTGTGCCTATTAAGCCCCCCTTCTCCCGCTTCCCGAGCCCCTGGCAACCTCCATTCTACTTTCTGCTCTTATGACTTTGACTACCTCAGTTACCTCGTATGTGGGAATCATATACTATTTGCCTTTTGTGACGGGTCTCTTTCACTGGGCACAACATCCTCAAGGTGCATCCGTGTGGTGGCACATGACAAGCTCTCCTGCCTGTGAAAGGCTGAGTAACACTCCCTGGTGCCACATTTTGTTCACAAGTTCCCTGTGATGGCTACAGGGGCCGCTTCCACCTCTCGGCTACCGTGGCTGGCGCTGCTGTGGCACAGATGCACACATAGCTCTGCCTCCGATTCTTTTGGGATCGACCCAGGAGGGATTGCTGGATCATACCACGATTTTATTTTTACATTTTGAGGGAGCTGCCATAGGTTTTCTGAGGCAGCCACACCATTGACATCCCACCAACATGGGCCAAGTCACCCAATTCCCGCGCACCTGACCCACGCGTGGCATTCCCTGGGCTTTGCGCAGTGGTGGCTGGTGCTGTGGCCGCAAGGGCACTCGCTGGGCTTCGCACTGTTGTGGTCTGGACTCCGTGGGCTGCCTTCGCAGGTGTGTCTAGTCAAGTCCTGTGTCTATTTGCGAGTTAGCTTTTTTTTTTTTTAAAGATTTTTTTTTTTTTTTAATAGAGGCATGTTTTTCTTTATTTATTTGTTTGCTTGTTTGTTTGTTTTTTGTTTATACATGCACTGGGTACAGTCAGAAGCGCGGGAGGGTGAGAGAATTCACCAGAGCCAGAGCGGGGAGCAGAGCAGGCAGAAGGACCGAAGTACACTGCTGAGGGGAGCAGCGGGCGGCAGGAGAGGTCTGCGCACCATGTGGGACCCTCCACCGGTGGCCGGGGAGCAGCCGGGGATTGAACCGGCGCCGCAGAGGCCGCGGGCAGCTTCGCAACCCAGCGCTCAACCGCTGCGCCACCGGGGAGGCCCGAGTTAGCTTTTTTTTAAAAAAAAAAAAAAAAAAAGATTTATTTATACAAGACTGGGTACAGTCAGAAGCGCGGGAGGGTGAGAGAATTCACCAGAGCCACAGCGGGGAGCAGAACAGGCAGAAGGACCGAAGGACACTGCTGAGGGGAGCAGCGGGCGGCAGGAGAGGTCTGCGCGCCATGTGGACCCTCGCCCGGCTGCCCGGGATCAAACCGGTGCTGCAGAGGCTGCGGGCAGCCCAGTGCTCAACAGCTGCGCCACCAGGGGAGGCCCAGCTTTTTTTTTTTTTTTTTTTTTTTAAAGGAGGCATGCTTTATTTATTTATTTGTTTGTTTGTTTGTCTGTTTGGTTACACATGCACTGGGTACAGTCAGAAGCGCGGGAGGGCGAGAGAATTCACCAGAGCCATAGTGGGGAGCAGAGCAGGCAGAAGGACCGAAGCACACTGCTGAGGGGAGCAGCGGGCGGCAGGAGAGGTCTGCGCGCCATGTGGGACCCTCCTCTGGTGGCCGGGGAGCAGCCGGGGATCGAACCGGCGCTGCAGAGGCTGCGGGCAGCTTCTCAACCCAGCGCTCAACCGCTGCGCCACCGGGGAGGCCCAGCTTTTTTTTTTTTAAGATTTATTTTTTATTTATACAATAGCAGGGGTACAGGCCAGAGGCGTGGGAGGGTGAGAGGATTCACTAGAGACAGAGCGGGGAGCAGAGCAGGCAGACAGACCGAAAGCACTGCTGAAGAGAGCAGCAGGCACAACAAGAGAGGTCTGCCGCACCATGTGGGAATTACCTGGTCGTCCGGAAATCGAACTTGTGCTGCAGAGGCTGTGGACAGCTTCACAGCGCTGCGCTCAACCCGCTGCGCCATTGGGGTGGCCCAGTGGTTTTTTTTTTTTTTTTTTTAAGATTTTTATTTATTTATACAAGAGCTGGGGTACAGGCCAGAGGCACAGTGGGGGTGTGTGTATGAGAGGATTCACCAGAGACAGAGTGGGAAGCAGAACAAGCAGACAGACCGAAAGCACTGCTGAGGGGAGCAGCGGGGAGACAGGACAGGTCTGCCACGTTGTGTGGGTAGCTCCCTGGCTGGCTGGGAATCGAACCTGTGCTGCAGAAGCTGCGGACAACTTCACAGTGCTGCGCTCAACTGCCTGCGCCACTGGGGAGGCCTGCAAGTTAGCTTGTTTAATTCTGTGTTGTCGAGTTGTGGTTCTTTCTGTAGTCTGACTATTAGTCTCTCATCAAACATGATTTTCAACTGTTTCCTTTATTTTCTTGACTTTTCTTTCTGCAGCTATTTTTTTCCCATTCACAATCACTCTGTTGATTGTGTCCTTTGATGCACAAAATTTTTAAAAGTTTGATGTAGTTCCATTTGTCTATTTTTGGTTTGGCTGCTTTTGACATCATTTCCCAGAAGTCATTGCTAAGGCCAATGTCATGAAGATTTCCCCAGGAATTTTATACTTTCACGCCTTCTGTTTGGGTGTCTATTCTGACGTGGTTTCTCATGTGGTGTAAGGGTCTCGTTTGCAACCATCCCAGGCTGGGCAGGTTCATTGTTGGTTCTCGCAGACGATAAGATAATTTTGGAGCCTGTGGTAGACTTTTATGGCCTTTACAGCTGAGTCAGGGGACAGACCAGCTTCTTCTCCTGGCGTTTCTGTCTCCTCTCGCAGTCCTAACCGTCGCCTATCTCAGAGTGATGCAGCTCTTTCATCCCTTGCCCTCGGCACGGGTATCCCGCTCACACCCCTGCGCTCTGGGCCCAGGTGCCCATTGTGACACGGGCACGGGCAGGGCCGCAGGTGCCGGCCAGGGACGCTTGCAGTGGGAGGGCGCGAAAGCCTGACTTTTGACTCGTTTACCCCACGGGTCCAGCTTCATTCTCTTCATGAGGACCCCAACTTCCCTAGCGTTCTCTGTTGTTTGTTTTCTTTCTTGTTGTTTTCCAACAGCCTTTGTTGAAGAGATGCTCTTCCCTGCACTGAATGGCTCTGGCGCCCTTGCCGAAGATCATTTGATCACATAAGTGAGGGTTTCTTCCCGGGCTCTCTATGCTGTTCCTTCAGTCTCTTTGTCTTTTTGTCAGTATCACACAGTTGAATGCCTGTGACTTTGCAATAAGTTTTGAAACCAGGAAGTGTGAGTCATCCCACATTGTTCTGCTTTTACAGAATTGTTTTGGCTCCCTGGGCTCCCTGGGGATGCCATGCGCTTCTAGGACTGACTTTTCTCTTTGAGTCAATTTTTTTTTTAAGATTTATTTTATGCATGCATGCATACAAGAAGGGGGTGTGTGTGCAGACCAGAGGTGCGGGGAGGGGGGGGGTGAGAGGATTCACCAGAGACAGAGCGGGGAACAGAACAGGCAGATTTGCTGAAATACACTGCTGAGGGGAGCAGCAGGGAGACAGGAGAGGTCTGCTGGGTCCTGTGGTTCAGCTCCCTGGCTGGGCATCCAACTCAGGCCAGTGGCTGCCCATAGCTTCATAGTGCTGAGACTTTAACCCCTGTGCCACCAGGAGGCCCTGAGTCAATATTTGATAGACAATGTTTTTCTAGGAACATACCCATTTTGTCTAAGTTTCAAACTTATCAGCATAAAGTCTTTGGTTTTATTTGATTATTCTGAAATTAGGTCGGTCAAACCCAGATGAAATTGCTTAATATTCAGCTGTTTTTGACAGACAATGCTGGTTCCATCTGATTCAAGCTCATATGTGTGTAAGATCTCGCTCATAGGAGCTATTTAGAGAACGAGGGCTGCACATGCGTCCCCATCATCAGCCGGAAACCAGCGCCGCCTGCGAAGTCCCTCTGTCTCCTTCCCTCCCTGAGCAGGGGCGGGCGCTGTCCTGTCCTTGCTTTTCTTTATATTTGTCCCAAATAGGACTCATCCCGAAGCGGCTTTTTAAACTTTTTTTTTTAATTTTTTAAAAAGATTTATTTATTACTTATGCACACAAGAGCTGGGGTACGGGCCAGAGGTGCGGAGAGTGAGAAGATTCACCTGAGACAGAGCGGGGAGCAGAACAGGCGGATCTACTGAAATCCACTGCTGAGGGGAGCAGCGGGAGACAGGAGAGGTCTGCCGCGCCATGTGGGTAGCTCCCCAGCCAGCCGGGGATGGAACTCGTGCTGCAGAGGCTGCGGACTGCTCCACAGCGCGGTGCTCAACCCGTTGCGCCACCAGGGAGGCCCAGCTTTGTAAACGTTATATCAGTGGAATCATTTCAGATATACTTTCTGTACTTTATAGCTCTCATTGCACATGCGCACGGCTGCCTGGACTTGTAGTTTATTCACTTTTATTGCCGAACACTTTCCCATCACGTGACTCTAAAATACTTCATTTGTTCTCCTGTTCGTGGACACTTGGGTCATGTCTGGCTTTTGCCTGCTTGACCCAGTGCTGCAGTGCGCCACTGGGCATGTGACGCAGGGTGATTTTGTGAGCGGGCTACCGTAGGGGTGCCTGCAAGGCGCGCAGGGCTTCAGTGCTGTCCGATGAGGCCCAGGTGCTTGCCGAAGAGCTCGCCCCGGTTCATACCCCCGCCAGCAGCGTGTTCTCCTGCCGCTGCATCTCATTCCCGACACCTGCTATTGTTAGACTTGTTCATTTCAGCCAGCTGGTGGGAGTGAAGGAGATTTCTTGCGGCTTTAACCTGCATTTCCACAGGCCCTTCTAAAACCCAGCAGAATGAAGTCTGACGTTCTGCATGAGGCCAGGCGAATCGTGTGCAGACTTTGAAGCAATCCTCCCCTGCATGACACACCACACGCCTTTCTGCTAAGATATTTGGTGCCTACAGTTCTTGGGCAAAGCAGTCCCTGCTGCCCTACTGCTGTTTGCAGAGTTTGCTCTGATCTCCTACATCACCTAGTGCTCCTCCACCCGTTTTCCAGCTTCCAGGATGTTCTCGGTGGGTGCTCCTCTTGTTTCTTGGGGTGTGTGTGTGTGTGTGTGTGAATTCGTTCCTCTTTCACATCTGTCGTCCCTTGACCGGCGTTATCGCAGTGTTTTGAGAAGTAAGGCCTCACCACGTGTTCAGCTCTCACATTTGACCCACAGTCTCCATTTTGTCTGAACTCGCTGGCGTGTCTGTGGTTCTACCCTGGTTTCCTTCCCAGATGGTGTCGTCGTGCTTTCCTGCTTTTACTCTCGCCAGAGGCTCGTTTATTTCAGTAGTTCCAAAGAACCTGCTTTTGGTTCCATTGCTCCTTTTTTCCCCATTTCATGAATTAGTATTATCTTGGTGATTTCCTCCGTTTTACTTTCTTTTTGTTCATTCCACTGTGTTTTTTCTGACTTCCTGAGTTTGCGGGGTGCACAGCTCAGCAGAAGCACTGCTCGGCGATACCCTGCTGTTGTCCAGTTCCAACTGAGTGTAGATTTTCATCCTCGTTCTTTTTTTTTTTTTTTTAAGATTTATTTATTTACACATACAAGAACTGGGGTACAGGCCAGAGGTGCGGGGGGGGGGTGAGAGGATTCACCAGAGCCAGAGTGGGGAGCAGAACAGGGCGATTGACTGAAATCCACTGCTGAGGGGAGCAGCGGGCGACACAGGAGAGGTCTGCTGTGCCCTGTGGGTAGCTCCCTGGCCAGGGATCCAACTTGTGCTGCAGAGGCTGCGGACAGCTTCATAGGTTGCGTCTTAACCCCCTGCGCCTCCGGGGAGACCCTCAAAGTATATTCTTAATTCAAATCTTCAAATCTCATGGGTAGACTTAATTTTCGTTTCACTCTTGATTTCTGATTTTGTTCTCTTGCAATTGGAGAAGAGGAGCCATCTGACACCAGCCGTTTTCGGGTTCGGCGCCCTAACTTTTCATTTCAGTAACTGGGTAAGGTGGACTTGAAATGAATGTGAAGTCTCTTGTTCTGACTGTCTGTTTAGCAGACTTGTTTGAATGTCCTGAAATTCCTTCTTGTTTTATCTGCTTGAGCTCCCAATTCCAGCAAGATGGCCTAAGGCCCTGTGGGGAGGTGACAAATTGGCGAGTCTTCCTCTCACCGAGTCTTCCTCTCACAGCTGCTCTGCTCTTCACGCTGCGCGCTTCCTCGTGAATTCCTTGTTTTATCCTCACCAAGGGACCTCTTAATGCTCTCTGCCCTGAGGGCTCCTTTGCCCAGTGGTAATTCTCCCCACTAACTTCCTCTCGGGCTGGGATTCGCTGGGACGTCTCTGTCCATCTGCACCCTCGGGGCTGGCAGGCTGTGGAAGCCTAATTTGCAGCAAGAGGATTTACCGTCATGTGGGGTGATTTCCACAATCTTGGCATTAGGGGAGAACCCCTGGCCCGCTGAGTCTGCTACCTTTCCCTGGGCTGGGAACGAATCCTCACCTCCAAATGAGGTCTCTGTGCCACCCCCCAGATGGGAGACCACACCCCTGCTCTCCAGGCTGTCAACGTGACCTCCTGCCTCCCTGCTGGCCCATCCCGACCACAGATGCTCCAGACCTCAAAGGGTGTCATCACCTCACACCACCCAGGCTCACTGCAGCCACAGCCAGGGCTCTCCTGACTCCCTCCGCCCCTCCCCCCAATTCTGAGCCCCCAGACGGGTGACTTTGTCCTGATCTCTGTGTGCAGCAGCCAGCGGCGTGCTCACGTGTCAGCCTTCGCCGCCCCTCTCCCGTCGCCGCTCAGATGTGCCTCTGTCACCGGCGAATCTTCTCTCTCGTCAAGTGATGTATCTGTCGAGCTTTTTTGAGATGAAATTCACACAACATAAAATTACTTTTAAACTGTAAGGCCTCCCTGGTGGCGCAAGGGGTTAAGCACCGCACTATGAAGCTGTCCGCAGCCTCTGCAGCACGAGTTCCATCCCCGGCCAGGGAGGCGGCCCACATGGCACCGCAGACCTCTCCTGTCTCCCCGCTGCTCCCCTCAGCAGTGTCTGTCAGTCCGTCGGCCTATCCTGTCCCCCGCTCTGTCTCTGGGGAGTCCTCTCACCCCCTGCACCTTTGGCCTGTGCCCCAGCTCTTGTGGGCATGAATAAATCAATCTTTAAAAAAAAAAATAAACTACATAACTCAGAGGCTTTAGTTCATTCAGAATATTGTGGGTTTCCAGAATATCCCATGACCCTGAAGGGAGCCTCGCCCCCACCAGTAGCCTCCATCTCCCACCTCCCAGGTCCCCTCTCTGCTGGTCTCTGCAGATTCAGGGAGGCGCCAGCACCCTGCTGTCCGTGGGGCCTCTCAGCACTGCATCTTGCTGCCTCCCCTCGACCCCCAGGGTAGGGAGCAGAACTTCATTCTTTTTCTCCCTCAACAACCTCCCACTTTTGCTTTGCCCTCGGTGGCTGGGCACTTGGCTTGTTTCCCTCCTAGGCTCCCTCGACCAGGCTGCCGCGCAGGCCTCTGTATGAGGACTTCCATGGGGGCTCCCGCTTAGCTCTCCAGGGCCTGCCTCTCTTCTCCATGGTTCCAAGCTGCTCCCAGCACAATCCTAAGGGCCCTCCAGGCAGCGTCCTTGCTGTCCTATGACCTGATCTTCCGAGGCTTTTCAAGGCCTCTGGAATGAGCCCCGGGCCTCCCTTTCCCTGTCCTTGGCCTTGATATCCTGCATCTCGCTCCGATCCACCCCTGGCCGGGAGGCCTGGAGCTTCCAGTGCCCTCGTGTGGTTGTGCCTGTGTGCTTACGGCTTCTGCACCGCCGCTTTCCTGTGGGCCTAGGGCCTTGGCTGGGCCACGTCAGGCCCCTTCCCTCCCCTGTGCCCCCATCCCCTCTGTGGCTTCGTGTTTTTCCCGGGGTCTCTAGCTCCTTCCGCAGGAACTGGGCGTCGGTCCCCTCCGCCACACCCAAGCACTGGGCCTGAGTCCTGTTTGGGCACCATCATTGCTTTTGCGAAATGGAGTGGCTGAACCCACCTCCCCAACACCAGGTGGGTGGAGCAGGGATGGAGGTGATCCCCCCAGGGTCTCGGAGGGATCCCCACTCCCACCTGCTGCCCTTCCCATCGCTCCCCCACCATCAAAGACTAAGAGGCCAGAAGTAGGATGTAGTTTCCAAGAGACATCTTTACTGAGAGGACCGAGGGAGGCTCCCGGCCGAAGGCTGAGGGCCTGGAAAGGCACACGGCGGCAGCGGGGTCTCCCTCTCGGGCAGGGGCTGGCTGGGCAGAGGCAGCTCCCTGGCTGACCCCTCTTTGGCACTGAGCTGGGAACCCCGGGGCCCTCAACCCCTGGCAGTCCCAGCATCCATCTCCCTTCGGCTGGCCGGGCCCTGGTGGCGGCTGGCAGTGTAGGCTGGTGGGATGACAGGCTGGTTGGGGCAACTCCCAGGCTGGGCCACCCATGGAAGGGCCAGCGCTGGAGCTGCCTCCCTGGCTTGCGGGGGCTTGCACGTTGGCAATCAGGGCGGTTACAACAGGAATGCAATAAATTAGCTTGTAGAGGGAGGGCGACACCCTTGTCATCACTTACTGGTAAACGTGGTGTGGTTCTCTCTCCCTAGGGCTCCTCGGGGCGCCTGGCAGGGAGAGGGCGAGCCCAGGCGTCCTGGGCCCATGTGGCTGCTTCTATGGCAGGAAGGGTGGCCCATGGGTGTGGCACTAGAGGGATGGACTGGGGTCTTCAAGGGTCTGAAGAGGCAGGACCAGGGGACTTGGTCACAGGAGGGGGGCCCCACAGATGCAAGGCTCGGCACAGACTGGCTGGCGGTGTGGGGGGCTCTACCCCCACCGCTCAATGGCTCTGGTGTGGGGTCAGGATTGGGGCCACCTGAGCCCCTCTCCCCCACCACAAAGAAAATAAAGGACTCAGTTACCCTGCCCAGGTCACAGCTGTGGTGGGGGCAGGGGAGGAGCGAGAAGGGCTGGGCCTCGGGCAGGACACTCCACGTGTGCATGCCCAAGGCTGGGGTACAGGGGCAGCACGTGGCTGCAATGGGGGGCATCCTTGCAGCTCGGCCTGGGGCAGGAAGGCCCAGGAGGCAGGAAGGGCATGCGGGGTGGGCCTGGAGCAGGGTGGCAGGGGAGTGGGGTGCTGTTTCCTTCATGTGATCTGAGAGCTTGGGGGGTGGGGGTGCAGGTGAGGCTCTGTCAGGTGGCGGCAGCCCGGAGGGTGCCAGGGCCTTGGCCCAGGATCTGGCAGAGCTCCTGCAGGCGCTGCTGCATTTTGGGAATGCCCGCTAGCTGCTGCTCAAGACGCTGCTTCTCCTCAGTCAGGCTCAAGCGGGCTGCCGAGTCCAGCTTCTCAAACTTCCAGCCGCCCTCCCCGTCGAACTGTAGCAAGTGTGTGTGGTACTTCCTGGCCAGGAGAGGAGCGGGGGCGCAGAGACGAAGGCTGCTGAGCAGGAGCTGGGGACCTCTACCCTGGTTCCCCTGCGCCCCCCTGCGAAGCTGGCGAGGCCTCCCAAGCCCTCCCACTCTTCCACTCCAGCGGGGCCGAGGAGAGGGCACCTACCACAGAGAGGGTCTGTGGGTGATGGAGAGCAGGGCGATGCCTGCGTCCTTGGCGGCCTGGAAGATCTTGCCTTCCACGTCGATGCTGACGGCGCTGGTGCACTCATCCAGGAGGGCATACTTGGGCCTTGGGGGCAGGGCCAAGGGGGCAAGGCTGTGGAACCTTGTGGCCGAGGTCCTGGCCTGGCCCCAGCCTTGAGCCAACCTGATCTGCTCAATTAGCCCCCTAGTCACTCAATTCCTGCCGGGTCAGGTGGGATGGGCCAGGCCTCCTAGTGCTGTGGCCTTCCCCCTTGACCAGGGAGCCCACCTGCTTTTCCACTGGCCTGCAGCACCACCATGATGCCCCATGTTCTCTGCTTCCGGGCCGGGGCAGCAGCGCCCTGGACATGCCACTCACCTGTGGTAGAACATGCGCGCCATCCCGATTCTCTGCTTCTCGCCCCCCGACAAGACATCCTTCCAGTCGCACACAGCCTCCCAGCCTGGGCAGAGCACAAGGAGACTGTTTAATTCAGCAGGGCAAGAGGCAGCAGCAGATGGTATGGCACTGGCTGGTGAGGATGCCCTGGGTGCCCCTCTGTGTGTGGGCAGTACTTTAATACTAAAAAAAATGAGCTATGTGGGTCTCGGGAGACCGGATCTATGCAGAGTTGATCAAGTTCAGACAAGGTCAGGCCGTGACCTGACGCGACAGGATAGCCAGATGAAAAGGGGGGATCTGGGCACAGACACTCCGAGAGGAGATGACGTGCCAGCTCAGGGGAGATGCTGGCACCTTCAAGCCCAGGAGAGAGGCCGGGCTGCACCCCGCTCATGAGGAACCCACCCTGCCCACACCTGAATCTCGGACTCCCGGCCCCCAGAAACGGGCGGCAGCCCATTTCTACACTCCCCGGTGTGGGCAGGGCGGTTCCCACAGCCCACGTAGGCCTATGGCCTAATGGGTACTAATACAGCCATCCAACAACGTCGTCACTGGACAGCAGATGGTTCTGCCCAGCCCCAGGGAGGGAGCCTCAGTCAGAGCCACCAGGCCTGTCACCAGCTGCTGCCCACCATGCCCTACGTCCCCGAAGGCCTGGGCACTTTGCTTTGGCTGGGCACGTGGTGGCTGCCCACAGTCTCAAGTGGGAGGTCTGAGGCCTGGGTTTAGCTGGCCCTACGCGGCAGCCTGTTTGTCAGATGTCACCACTGAGACCGGATCCCAGACCCCCCAGCTCCTCCAGGCTCAGTGGGCTTTGGCACGCTGCCTGACAAACCCTGACGCAGGCCTCTTACCCCCAGCCTGTCATGTCTCCCATGGTCTATCCCAGGAGGCCACCCGCTTAGGTTCCTGTCAAAAACCTGGGTGTCCTGCCCCTCCGCTCTGCCCTCTGTCCTTGCCCTGCCCATCTGGCTGCCCTGCCTGGCCCCTTGCGCTGTGTTCATCCTGAAATGTGAAAGTGATTTGTCACCTGCCGCCTAAAGTCTGCCAAAGCTCACTCGCCCCCCATCAGGGAAAGCCCTGGCTCCCTGCCTGGCCCAGTGGGTCCTCCGTGAGTTGGACCCTCGCTGCCACCCAGCTGCAGAGCCCACAGAGGGTGAGTGTCCTCGCCGCCCGCCTCCCCCCCATCCCCACCACAGCTCCCTAGCCCCTTCCCAGTGCACTCAGCCCCCAGGGCACGTGCTGACGGCCAGGCCTCCTGCAGGTGCAACTGCCCAAGGTACCCAGCACTTTGGACTCCTGGACACTGGGGCCATCGGCAGCCCCCGGGCCAGGCAGGTGTGGGGACAAGCTGGCACAGGTTGTCCAACAAGGACCAGAGCGAAGGGCGCCGTCTGCCTACCTCCCTCACGCTGCAGGATATGTAGCAGGTGCACTGTGTCCAGGATGGCCTCTAGGTGCTGCTCGGTGTAGCCCTTGCGCCGCATGTCCTGTGCCGAGTCTGGGTAGATGACCTGGTCGCGCAGGGAGCCCACGGACATGTAGGGCCTGTGGGCAAGTCGTGTGTCCGGCGAGGGAGGCTGACCCTACTTCGCGAGGCTCTGCCACAGGCCCACCGCACGGTGCCTCTACAGCCCTCTGCTCAGGCTGCGCTCACCCCGCCACACGCGCGGCCACCCACCCCACAACTCCATCCCCATCCGTGCACACCATCATGCGCCATGCGCCCCACGCCCTGCACGCTGTGTCCTGCACACTCGACACAGCCTCACATGTGGACACACATGCCGGGCGCAGCATGCACGCCCTGTGTGCACACGCCCTGGGCACGCCCCCACGCCTGCTGGCCTCTCTCAGGCTCCAAACTCTGCCTGTCCCAGGCATCAGGCTGCACGGGGGTAGAGGTGCGTGCAAGCTGGGGCTCACCTCTGAGGGATGTAGAACATGCGCTGGGGTGGTGGCTTGTAGAGCACCCCGCCATAGGTGGGCCAGAGCCCCCCCAGGATCCGGAAGAGCGAGCTCTTGCCGCAGCCATTGGGGCCGGTGATGAGCAGATGCATGCCCTCCTCCACCTGCAGAGGCAGCAGGTGCTAGGTGGGGGCTCCCCTCCCGCCACCCTGACAGTCCCATGTCCACGCTAAGGGTTGGCCATTCCCCTTCTCGTGGGAAGGGGCCAAGGTCCGGGGAGGAGGGCCGGCCTCTGGAGCCCTGCCCAAGTGGCTTTGGGCCCCTGGCTGGATGCCAAGGGCTGGGCTTTGGATGCAGAGGGCTTGGCCCTGGCTTGGCCCCACCCCATTTGCACTTCGGTGACACCCTGTCCTACTGGGCTCACCTTGATGTTGAGGCTGGCCACCACCACCTCCCCGCTGGGCGTGATGATGGGGATGTTCTCACAAACAATACCCTGCTCCACGTCCACCACCTGGCCTAGAGGGAGGAAACGTGGGCAGGGCAGCAGTGGGCAGTGCTCTCTGCCTTGCGCTGGGTCCTGTGTAGCCCTCCTGCTGCCCTTCCTGGCTCCCCACCCCTAACACCATGCCAGTGCATGGTCCAGAGCCCCTGGGAGTGCAGTGGGTTGCCCCTCCCACCCTTGGCACTGTGCGCTGGGCGGGGGGTGGTAAGGCCACAGCTCTGGCCTTCGGCACCCAGGGCAGGGGTCACCCTGCCCCACAGCCCTCTGCATGGGCCGCTCTGGGGCTTGGGCTCCCGCTGTAGTTTGGAGCTTTCCCTTGCTGTCCTGTGTGGTGAGTGATCCCCTCCACTCAGGGACCACAACCCCCTCTTCTGCAAAGAGAAGCCCGGGCCAGGGCATACAGGAGCGGGGGCACGGGGAGGTGGCAGCACCAGTCAAAGCCCGGCTCTCTGGGTGGACGGGGAGGTGCCTGGGGTGGGGCGGGGGCCCAGCCCGCACGCGCCCTTACCTCGGATCTGCAGGGGCCCCTCTGCACGGACCCCTGACCCCAAGGCTCCGGCTCCCACCTGCGCGGCTTCCGGCCCCCCCGGCCTTTTGAAGCGGCAGTGGCGGACGTCCTCGAACACCCGGAACATCTCGTGCACCCGGGCAGTGTAGCCGGCCAGCTCCGTGACCTGCGGGGAGGGTGCTGCTCAGTGCCCAGCCGGGTGGGGGCAGGACTGTGCAGGCGCGGGTGCGGGTGGGGGCACGTGGGCACCTCCTTGTAGGATGACATGATCCGCTCGATGGCATCGGCTGCAGCAGTGAGGAGGTTGCGGGCGATAGTGAAGGCTTCCGTGCGCTCGCTCACCAGCTCCTCTTCCCTCCGCTCCAAGGCGGCCTTCTTCACAGAGTCAGAGTCTGCAGGCAGTGCAGGGGGCAGGAGGGCAGAAAGTCAGCACCGAGCTGCCGGGGAGGGCAGTCTGTTGAGGGCACAGCAGGGCACCGGGCATGCGCGAGAGTGGAGCCTACAGAGCTCGGAGCAGGATGCGGCACTGCGCCGCACGCGACAGCAGGCACGCGCAAGGACGCGCAGACCCCGGAGCTGCCTGGCGCCGGAGGGCGCCTGGGCACCCGAGGCCACAGTCCAGAAAGTGGACGGGACGCCGGGGCCGGGAGGGGCCGTCCACAGACCCCGCGACCGGAAAGGCCCTCGCGCGACAGTTCAACTTCAGGCCCGCAGCGAAGCGGCGAGCGGCGGACTCGCCCACGGGCAGAGGCTCGGAATTGTCAGGAAGCGCCAGTAAGCCCAGGACAGGCCGCTCCCTGGCCCTGGGGGCGCCGCCACCAGGGGACAGCCTTGTGCTGGCTGAGGTGGCCGGAATTCAAAACAGATGACAACAGCAAGTGTGGGGCGGAAGCGGAGGCTGGAAACCCCCGCGCTGCTGGCAGGGCCCCGGCCCCGGCCCCGCCGCACTTCCTCCAACAGGGAGACGCGACTCCGGCAACTGCGGCCCCGGCCACCAGGGGGCGACCGCGAGGGACGGCGGCCCTCGGCAGGGAACACGCTGCGCAGCCTCAAGGAGGGACCAGCGGCAGGTCCCCCCACGCTGTACAGGGCGCTTCGCGGCACCGCGAGGAGCGAAAGGCTGTGCCCCTGCGGGAGGCCGAGGCTCAGACACAGAGAGGAGCTGCGAGGTGCTGGGGCTGGGGGTGACCGCGACAGGATGGGGATTCCTTCTGAGGTGTTGAGGTGCTCAGGACCCAGTGGTGATGCCTGCAAAACCTGGCCAGTGGAACGCACGTACCTGAAAAGGCTGCGCTGCATGGAGCGCTAGCGACACTGGCGCTCAGACCCCGGAGGAGCCAGCAGGCGTCCGACTGCCCTTCCCGTGGACAGCTGGCGCGGGGCCCGCTCGGCCTGCCTTCGGCACTGGCCCAGGGCTGCCACAGCCTCGAGCCTCTCGAACACAAACACCCACTGGCGAACCTCCACCGGGCGCCCCGCATCCCCCTCATTTCCCCTGCACTGTGCCGACCCCTCCTCTAGCGGGCCCCCCTCCACCGGGTGGAAGGAAAGGTTTTGTGAAGGCAAATGTCAATCTCCAGGTGGGGGCGTCAGGGGTGGGAAAAGACTCAGGGCAGATGGTGTCTAGCGCAGCGTGGGGTGCCAGGGCACCTGGCTGCACCTCTGAGGCCTGGCCTAGGAAACCAGGGAAATGAACAGGATGGGGTGGCATTGACCCAACAGTCTAAAGTCTGAATGTGGCCCCAGGGACATGCCCCCAGCAGGCAGAAGGGACAGAACAGAGCACAGGTGCTGGGGTGTCCTGGCAACAGCTGGTACCTCCTTGGAGGCAGGACTCATTGATGCTACAGCTTCCCTTGAAGGCCAGGCAGATAAGCCAGGGTCCTGAGGGGAACACCCAGCAGCTGTGAGGGCAGGCCCTCCCCCCATCTTGGGCTTGGGCCCTGCAACCTCCAGCAGCCTCCTGAGATGCCAGAGGGCAGAGATGGGAGTCTTCCCCAAAGACAAGGCCCTGCCTCCTTCTCTACCCCCGAGCTCTCAGCCTCCTTGAAGGAGTTAGAGCCCTCACCAGCCACCGGTCCTGGGAACACAGCAGGGACAACACCGAGTCTCCACCCTCGTTGAGCTCAGTCTAAAGCAGCAAGACAGAGGGTAAAGCAGCTAGGGACACAAAGGTCTGGCTCCTGGTGGGTAGGGTGTACAGCTCAGCTAGATGAGGCGGACCCACAGGATGCCAGAGGGACAAGCATTCCTGGCAGACAGCAGCATGTGCTACGGCCCTGAGGCAGAAGCGGGCCTGGTATTTGGGGCAGTAACAAGGAGGCCAGGAGGGTGGAAGTGGGAGGGAGCAAGGGAGACAGGAGCACCTTACCTCTTCCAAGGTAAGTGACCCTAAGGGCGCTGAGGCCCAGACAGGAGTCGGTCAAGCCAGGCGTAACAGAGGCTCCAAAAAGCCCCAGGCCTTCAGAGGAGGCAGAGGTCTTGGGGACTGGACAGGTCATGCTGTGCCCAGAGCCAGTGGGGAGGCAAGTGGCTGCGGGCAAGGTCCTGAGGTCTGGTGTCTGCGCCTAAATCAAGGCCGCCCTGTCTGTGGGCCCTCGGTGGAAAGCAACTCCCCCCCCCCACCCCACCTATTCGATCCTTGTGCTTGCGGGTCACCGAGAGCGGGAACTGCTGACAGGGAGAGAAGCAAGGCCAGTTCTCAGGCTGCAACGGTCAGGCTCTCTTGCAACCTCACAAAACCCTTCCTACCAAACCACAAAAAATCTAACACCTTTTAAAGCGAGCTATTCTCGAGGGAAAGCAAGAGGGGTCCTGGCAGCAACAGGAGGGCCCCCACCCCCAACCTGGGAGAAGACAGGGAAGCTCTGGGCACAGAGCTGGGACTCTGGGTGCCCTGGACCAAAGGCATCTTCTAGGGTTTGCCATTGGGAGTGTGGGGTTGCCCCAAGTCTAGGAACGCCTCTTCCCAAGCTGGGAAGCGAACGTGAAAATGGCCTCCGCTGGCTGATGACCACACGCTCAGGCGGGCACTAGCGGTTGCCACCCACCATGCGCGAAGACCGGCCGATGGCAGATGGAGTTTAGTCCCCCAGGACTTCCGATAGCCGCGCCGCCAGCTAGAGACCCGGAGCTGCACGATTACCTGACGCGCAGCAGAGGTGTGAAGTCAGACACGGACAGAAAGAGTCTACGATTTCCACTCGAGTAAGAGAACTTCTACAAATCTCTACTTGACAGACAGTCATTTAGAACTTATAGAAAGTCGCTGGGAAAACAAGAAAAATCAGAGGCAGCCAAGCAGAATCCCAGGGAATGAGCGTGGGAGGAGGAGCGGGCAGGTGGGCAAGGGAGGGGAACGAAACAGAGGGGGGCGGTCCTGCAGGAAAGAGGCAGTCCCTGAGAAATTTCCAGAAGGATGGAAAAATCTGAATATTCCAAGACTTGAACCAACAAGTCTCAAGCAAGATAAACAGAAGCCTGCAGGTGAAGCCTGTGCAGGAGCAGTGCCCAATGCCAACGAGCCAGCCTGCGTCCCAGCAGCCCTGCGGCCAGCACCAGGGCAGGGCTGGGCACCATCCGCTCAGTTTCCCAATAGACAATGGAATAGCGGCTGCGGGCAGGCGGAGAGGCCGTCAAGTCCGTCCCCACACCCAACGAGACTTTGCTCGGGGACGAAGGGTGACAGGAGACATTTTTCAAACAAGACAATCAAGAAGTTCACACCAAGAGAGCCTGGGAGGAAGGACTTTTCAGGGATTTCTCTCTGGAAGGAAGTCACTGGGCAGCGGGAGGGTGCGGTGGGCCAAGGACTGGGTGGGCACAGGGCTGAATGACCCGCACACCCGCATGAAGCCACAGTGAGTCCAGAGGTACTTCCCCTCAGGCCTCCCCGCCTCCCTGCTGCCTCTGGGCAGTCTGCCTGGAGAAGCCGCCCTGAGCCTGGGGCTGCTGAGCAGGCAGGGCCTGGGGGTGCCCTCTGTGGCCATGGGGCTGTTCTAGGGGTGTCGAAGCCCAGGCCCAGCCTTGAGGGCCTTCCCCTGCCCTCTCACCTCCAATTTGCCGTTGGGTTGAGGACAGGGACAGACGGCAGGGCTGCACGCCCCTGGGGAAGGGGTCTGAGGTACAGTGGGTCCCAGGAGTCAGCAGAGGGGGTCCCGGGAATGTGGGGTGATGCACTCCGAGGACGGGGAGGCAGCGAGGAGCTGCAGGACAGGATGACCGCTGGGCCTCTGTCCCCAGGGGCAGGGGGCCAACTGAGCCAGGGGCCCCCCAGAGCCTGACACCCTGCCCGCTCCCAAGGGGCTGGCTCTCACCTGCCTCTGAATAGCCGGTGGCAGTGATGATGGGCACGGCCACCATGAGCAGGCCCGAAGCGCTCCACACGTACTTCATGAGGAACTGCTCCAGCATCACGTACCACAGGCGCTCCAGCAGGATGAGGTTGATCTGCGAGGCCAGGTCGCCGTAGCAGCGCCGCAGCAGGGCCAGCTCCACCTGCCAGGGAACATGGCAAGGCTTGCTGGTGAGAGCAGTGAGGGTGGGGCCAGCGCCCCCACCCCCGCCTTCCAATCATTGTGACAAAGACGAGAGCTGGGGGCTACGATGGAGCCACGTTTACAGGGTACCCGTCTCAATTGGGGGGGTGTCTAGAATGGCCTGATGTCCCAGAACCAGGGTGCAGCGATGAAGATGGGGCCTGCCCCTCCACCTTCTGAGGCCTACTCCTATCCTCTTTCCAGTCCCCCTCTAGTTGGGACCCTCACCCTGCCCCCGCCCCGGCGCAGCAGATGCTGGATGCGGGCTAAATAGTTGAGCCGAGAGCAGGGTCTGCCCTAAACCCAGCAACAGCGGCCCAGGAGCAAAATGGCCAGTTCTTGCCTTGGTGGGACTTGATTCCACAGTTTCTACCTGCTGAGACCCCTCCTACCCTACTTCCCCACAGTGCCTCGGGGTTGTCCACCAGCACCTGGAGGGTGAGGGCGCGCCCCCTAATAGACAGCCTGCCTCAGGCGACGATGATGCTGCCTGCCAAACGCGCAGCAGTGTCTTGCTCCAGTCCCCTCCCTGCGCTGGTCACGGCCTGCCCTCTCAGGATGGGGACAGGTGGGGAAGAGGCCCGTGCACGGCCTGGAGGAGAGATGGCAGCAGCAGTGGCGGGGGGTGGGGGGGGGGGGGGGCGCAGCTCGCAGGGTCAGCTTTCCCGGCTCAGTACGGGGGTGCGTATCCCTGCCTACCCACCGACTGACCACAGGGCCCGGCCCAGCAAGGTTCCCTTTGACAAGAGCTTTCACACCCACTCCCCACCTGCGAGTCCCCATGTGTGACCATGGGTAATCTGCCCAGCTCACACAGCCTGGGGCAGCAAGAGGGGTGGAATTCAGAGCACACTGGCAGGCCATTAGGAGAAGCAGATTCTCGTAAGCGATGCTGTGACTTACTAAGCAAGGTTTACCTGGGTCTCAAGTCAACAAGAGCTTGCGCGCACACGGGCATGTGCACCTGTACGTGTGTGCAGGCATGCACATCTACACGAGCCCGCTGAAATCCCTATCTGCCCTCCTGCGGGGCGGTCACCTCTGACCCGACCTGTTATCTGACCCTGGCTCAGTATGCCTGGGGGCAGCAGCCAAGGGACTGGGGGTGTGGTGGGCTGCCCCCGACACTGCTTTCCAGTCCTCTGGCCTCACACACGTGGGCCCTCCTCCTGGAGCAGCACATCCTCCCAGTGAGCGTGAATTCCTGAAAGTGGTCCCAAGGGAGAGCCATCAACTCCTCCCTGCTCCTGCAAAGCTTGGCCTGGCCTCAGGGCCAATCTCCCCACGCCCCATCTCCTATGCTAATGCCAGCACAACTGCTCCTAGCACCCTCGAGATCCCCACTCATGACTCACGCTGGGAGCCGGCAGCAGTGCCAGCAGGTGCGGACAGTGTAGCTGCGGGTAATGTGCCAAGCACCTCACCTAAGGCCAAGGAGGCTTGCCCCGGTCCTGTGGCCCAGCGTGCTGAGAGGTAAGGAGGGGGCTGCAGCTGCCGACAGGCCGCCGGCTCAGAACCTGGTACACTCCCACAGTTCAGAGACAAGCCTTTCAAAATCAGGCAGAGGCTTGCTCCTCTGCCCAGTGCACAGCCAATGACACAGGGTCCCAGGCCTGAGGCCACCTGACCCAGGGAGGACACACAGGCCTTCAGGAGATGGATGCCATTGCGCCCCTCCCCCACCCAGGCCTCAGAACCGAAACCAGAGTCACCGCCCAGCGCAGCGTGCAGGGCCGGAGGCAGCTGCAACCCCAGGCACAAGGAAGGGGAGGGGCTGAGGCGAGATAAAGGGAGCACTGGCCTGCAGTGACCTTTTCCCAGCACAGGCAGGCCCAGGCCCACCAGGAGCCGCATGCCTGGGGCCCAGGCGGAAGGGCGGCCACACTGTGGCAGGGTGGCCAGGAAGTGTGTCCGCCCAGGTGGCGGCCCAAGCCTGCTTCAGGGCTGTGGCCAAGCCGGCAGTCAGGTGGGCCCCAGGGCTCAGGCTGAGGAGGCCTTGACCCCGGAGCTCTGCCGCTGCCGCTGCCGCTTGCGGCCGCCTCCCTGGTTGTTGCTCGTTAACCTCCGCTTGGGCTGAGTCATGCCCATAATGCCCGCCTGCCCAGCCGGGCTGGACGCCGGCTTTCAAAGGGCCTGGGGGGCGGGCCCAGGAGGGGCTGGGTGGCAGGCCATGTCCCACTGCCCCTGCTCCCATGTGGCAGGAGCCCCTCCCGGCTGGCTGGAGAAATGGGGTGGGCCAGCAGTCTCAAACCGCTAGGATCCACAGCTCTGAGGCCGGGACCAGCTCCTCATGGAGGAGGAGAGGAAGCAGAAGTGGCCTGGAGCAAGCAGGCCACTGGCCCAGGCCTATCCCCACCCAGCCTTCCTGCTTCTCCATTTCTGTGCTCAAGTCCCTGCTACCCCAGGCCCTGGCCACCCCCAGACCTCTCTCCCGTGACCTGCCCACCCTCTGGCACTAGCCCCAACCAGCCCTGGGCCTTTCCTGATGGTCACGGCCTTCCAGCCCCACGCTTTCTTCCAGGCCCTGCACCATGACCTGCCCCACCTCATGGCCCCCATAGAAGGCGATCTCCTCTGAGTTGGCCACCACACGAGAGTGCATGTAGCGCAGCTCCCCCTTCCTCCGTGCCTCCTCTGCCACCAGCTCCCCAAACTTGGGTGAGAAGGCTCGCAGCACGTTGGCTGTGAGGAACACCACAAGGCCAGCGATGGCCGAGGGCCAGGCTGTGCCGGCCCCACGGGAGCGGGCCGCCCGAATCAAGGTGTAAGCAGTCACGGCCACGTCCAGGAGCGGCTTGGTCAGGTTGGAGTAGAGGTGGGCCACGGAGGCTGCAAAGGTCACCATGTCGTCGGTCAGGGACTGGTCAGGGTTGCGAAGGCGCCCGTCCATGTTGCTGACTCGGTAGTAGGTCTGCTGGGAAAAGTAGAGACCGTAGGCATGGGCCACTAGACGGCTGCGGAAGGACAAGGCCAGCTGGCCCTCCAAGTAGCGGATGGCACTGTTGATGAAGGTGGCAGGCAGCGCGATGAGGAGCCACTGCAGGAGCTGCCAGCCGAAGGCCCCTGGGTCCTTGCGCACAATGCAGCGGGCCAGCCGGCCGTCCAGGCGGGCCACGTACACGGACAGGAAAGTCCGGCTCACCAGCGCGGCGGAGTGCAGTGCGAGCAGCCCCGTCTCCCGGCACAGGATCCTGGGGAAGAGCAGCCGCAGGAGCCACAAGAGTCGCTGCACGAACACCCGGTTCACGCCTGCCTTGGCAGTGGTGGTGGCAGCGGAGGTCCCGGAGGCCTCCTGCGTGGACACTCCTGTGGTCCCTGGCCCCTGAGGGCCCCTCGCTGGAGCCAGGCACTGCCGTACCAAGGGGTAGATTTTGTGGGCTCCATAGGCCGTGAGGGCCAGGATCACTGCTGTGCGCTTCAGCGTGGTCACGCGAGAGGACCGGGGGGTGGAGAGCACCGGCATGTCCCCTGGGCTGGACGCACTGGGCTGGCACCGGTGCCTGAGGCAGCCGGCGAGGCTGGTGGCGGCTGCTCTGACCCCAGGCTTGTTGTCTAGGCAATTAGAAAACTGGTCTTGGTCCCTGGGACTGCCGCTCTCGGCCACCGGGGCGGTGCTGGGGCCCCTGGTGCGGTGAGCTCAGGGCCCTCCAGGGTCGCGGCCTCTTCGGGGCTGCCGAGGCCGAGGCACTTGTCAGTCCCCTGGTCCTGGGGTCAGGGCCTCGAGAGGGCCCGGGCAGAGAGGGCGTCTCTTCCTCTCACCTCTCCTCCTCCTCCTCCTCCTCCTGCCCCGGGGGCGCCCCTTCCCGGGGCACCAGGCGCGTCCGTCCGCTCCACAGCCCGGCCGAAGCGACAGTGACTCCGCCACCCGCCTGGAGTCCCCACCCACCCACCCTCCTCAGGGGCGAGCCGGGGGAAGGGGAGGAGGCGGAGGTGGGGCGGGAGGAGGAGCCGGGCGCTGGCCGGCCCCACCCCGTTCTCGCCCCGCGCTCGGGCCCTGCGCCTTCCCCTACCACAGAGACGCACAGAGCGCGGGCTAGACGAGCGGCGGTGGCCTTGACCCTGGGGCCCGCCCCGCCCCTGCGCGCTCCGGGCGCCGCCGCCAGGCCCCTCGGGCGCCGCGCCCGCCCGCGTCCTGGGCGTCGGGGCCGGGCCCGGCGGGGCGGGCGGGGCCGGGGGCGGGGCCGGACCTGCGGGCGCTTCCGGCTTCCGGCCGCGGGGGAAGGGGCGGGGCTTGCGCGGCGGTGGGAGAGTCGGGCAGCGTTTGCCGCGGGGCGTGCGCGGTGACTGTGAGAAACTCGGTGAGCGCCGCGGCCGCTCGGCCCGACTCCGGGCCCGGGGCCCTCGACCCGGGGGCGGCGGGCGGCACGGAGAGGGCCGAGGCTCGGGGGCCGAAGTGGGTGGGCGGGGTGGCGGGGGGGGGCGGACGCCGGGCCTCTCTCCTGCGGGGCGGGCGCCGTGGCCAACCGGGGCTGCCGGGAGGGGCTCTTCTGGCTTCCGAGGAGACGACTTCTGGAACTTTCTCTGAAAGGGGCCCTGGTGACGAGCTGAGTGGAGACCTGTGTTTGCTCTTGGTCCGGCTCCTGCCCCCCCGGGAGTGGCCCTGTGAGCTTCCCGAGGCCCCCAGCCCTCCGCCCCGTCAGCGACGGGAGAGAGGGCCCCTTGGCCGGGCTGCCGCCCCGGAGCCCGGCGCCTGCTCTCCGAGGGGCCCCGCTGGAGGGGGGTCGGGCCTGCGTCGCCCCGTGGCGGGGGCGCCGCGGCTGTGGGAGAAAGGCCGGCGGGGCCCGGGGAGGTCCCCGCCCCGCGCACCTCCCTGGCGTGTTGCGAAGGCTTTCCCGGCGGGGCCCCCGGCGGCGCAGACGGAGCGTGCGGGGTCTTGAGCGTCGATGGCCGCTCTCTGGGCGGGCGGGGGCGGCGCTCACTCGCGGCCCTGTCTGCCCCACAGGAGACGATCGCTTCTCCTGGCCGGCATGAGTCTGCAGTGGACCGCGGTGGCCACCTTCCTGTACGCGGAGGTCTTCGCTGTGCTGCTGCTCTGCATCCCCTTCATTTCTCCCAAGAGGTAGGGCCTGTGGGCGGACGGGCGTCTGGGCGCAGGGCCGGTGGGCCCTGGAATCGGGGCCGGCAGGGAACAGGTCGAACCTGTCCGGGCTCGGGGTGGCAGCGGTTATGCTTATTCTTGCCAACCTCCTGCACAGTTGGGCTTGCGCACATCTCCTCCAGCTTCTCTCTCCTGCATCCTGCTTCCAGCGCTTGGGGTGCTGGGGGCGAGGGGTGGTAGAAGACCTCTCATGGTGCTGGGCGGATGCCTCCTGCCTCCCCGGGCCCCAGGGGTGCAAGGGGTGGCATGGTGAGATCCAGGAGACGTGCACCACAAGGCCACGTTGTTGGCCGAGATGGTGACTTCTGTCCTCCTAAGTATTTCTCTGGCGTGGCGCAATATCCTCTCGGGCCTTACCCGGCCTGGAAGGAGACTGTGGTCCCTTGTGATGCGCAGATGGACTGTTAGACTCGAATCTGAAGTTATTAATTATGTAATACATGAGCAGTAGACTTTTACTTTATTTTTTTGGTAAAGATTTATTTATTTGTACAAGAAGCAGGGCACAGGCCAGAGGCGCGAGAGGCTGAGAGGATTCACCAGAGACAGAGTGGGGAACAGAACAGGTAGACCGACGACATACACCGCTGAGGGGAGCAGCGGGCGAGGCAGGAGAGGTGTGCCCTGACATGTGGGGTTCTCGCCAGCCGGCAGGCATCAAACCCGCGCTGCAGAGGCTGCGGACAGCTTCACCACGCGGCACTCAACCGCCTGCGCCACAAATAGTACACTTTTAAATTTGAATTTGGAAATTGCAGATAAAGCGAAGTGTCCACAGGGTTTTTTTTTTTTTTTTGTACTGTTTTTATGGAGGTAACAACAGTTTACAATGTTGGGTATCATTTGCGGGTACAGGTTCACACCCCTTTGGATGTATGTGACAGCACCACAGCCACCACCAAAGCCCCAGTAGTCCTCCAGCACAGTCCGCAGATGTGGAAACTGCTTTTAGTGAGGAATAGTGCCTCTGACGTGACATGACAGGAGTTCTGTTATGTGGTTTCTGGAATCTTCTTGCTGGAAGCGTGATCTGAATCTGAAGTGCAGCGATCAGGGTCCCCCTTGGAGCTGCAATCTGGGGAGCATTGTAGGACTACCAGCCTGGTTTCTGCCAGAAGTGAATGGGGGAAGAAGGCAAAAGAGGGAGAGGGAAGGGGGCGCTTACAAGGGAGGGGCTTGCGGTACTTGTCAACTAAAGGCTGAATCAGAGCCTTGTCAGTTGAGATTCACACCGACCAACCAGTACAGAGAAAACGCTGCCAGTGGACTTTGGGACTCAGCTCCGATAAGAGGGCTTCTTGCCGATGTTCATGCAGGCCGGTGGCGACAGCGTGAGTGCGCCGGCCTTTTCTGAAGGCTCTTTGCTAGAACTGCCTCCTGCCATAGTTATGGAGGAAAGTGAAGTGAAGGGAGATGTGGGGTTCGTTTCATAAATGTTTCCAGGTGGTGAGGATCGAGGTGAACTAGGACTCGTCACGTGAACAAGCCCCTTAAGTGATGCGCGTGAGGCAAGCAGTATGAATGCTGTGTAGGGGGATGAGATGGAAAGCAAGCTGCCCATTCCCCCCCAACGGGACCACCAGTGTTTAAGACTTGGGTTTTCTAGAAATTCCCATACATGGATGTGCATCCCTCCTCCCCCCGCTTGACTGGGTGGCACGTGGGAGAAAGGCAAGTGGCTGAGGCCGAGCCTGAGGACCCCTGTCTTCTTTGTCTTCACAGATGGCAGAAGATTTTCAAGTCCCGCCTGGTGGAGTTGGTAGTGACCTATGGCAACACCTTCTTTGTGGTTCTCATCATCATCCTCGTGCTGCTGGTCATTGGTGAGTGACCCCTCCCTGACCTTGACCCTTGGCTGTCGCCTCTGCTGCCAAGCCCATGTTGTGTTCCCATGTAGCAGTTTTGGCTTTGCAGACACAAACCACTCAAGAGCCCTTGTCTTTCTTGAGGAAGGAGGCTCCCTTCACCCACAAAACGGGTGTTCCTGATGGCCAGCAGGGCACTCACTTTGACTAGCAATCTTGAGGGAGGTATCCTTGTGACGGATGGCCACCGAAGACTCTGGAGTGGCTCCTTAGGTCATTCTAGAAGCCAAATTGAGATGGGAGCTGGCCCGTGCCGCCCTCGGTCTGCAGCGCTGCTCCCTGGCGTCTCAGAGCAGCACGCGTCGTCTCCTTCGAGGCATGAGCTGCCACGGAGATGGGGAGGCACCCCGGCCGGTCGTGCTGCCGGCACCAAGAGGTCTGGCGGCGCATCCTGGTGGTAGATCCCTGACCTCTCTGGGGCTGGGTCAGAGCTGGTGTCTTTTCTGGGTCTGGCCCTGAAGGTTCTTCCACTCCCATACTGAGGTGTGCATCAGCAGCTGGAACAGGTAAAGAGTTCCGAGGCACACTCAGGGCTGGGCCGGGGCCCGGGTGGTGCTGAGGTGGACGGCAAGCCTTTCATGACATGGTGGTGTGACCGGAGGCCGGAGGGATTGCTACAGCTCGAGTGTGACTGCCAGTGTGTGTTGTGCTGTGGTGAGTCATCATCGTGGTCCCTGCTTGGACTCTGCATAGTATTTCTTTGTCTCTGCCGCTAATGGTGGTCCATGAGCGGTGGTGCCCTCCTCCTGGGTCCCCAGCACATACTCAGCAAGAGGGCACAGCCCCGCCCACTGGAGCAGCACAAGTCTCTTCTCCTTGCTCGTGTCTCCTGGCCCTAATGGGATGTGTTCAGGCAGGACTGAACAGGCCAGATGTGGCCTATCTGTTCCCAACTCTGGAGGGTGGGTGCCAGCTGCTCATAGGCCTTGCTGTTCTTGAAATACTTGGCAGAGCCCTAAGAGGCAGCAGCTCTTTCCAGTCAGAGTTCTCTCCTGGAGTGGCCTCAGCCTGGAGGGGGCGGCAGCACATGGCATCCTCCCGTGCGAAGAGCCAGGCTACAGAGTTTTGGAACTGAGCTTGTGGGTGGTTGCTTGTGGGTGTGGGAAGGAAGCAGGGAGGGACTCAGCTGAGAGTCCCACCCCTGCCAGGACCATGCTCCCCTGCAAAGCAGACTCCGGAGCTTAGCCCAGTGGGCCCAGAGGCTCCGTGCAGAGCCCAGTTGTTGGCAAAGGTACCGTTCTGTGGGGTCAAGAGGCTGCTCAGAAGTCAGAAACAGATGTCTGCTACCATGACAGCCTGCTTCCTGTCCTGGTGGGAGACTAATTTAGAGAGGCCTGTGGAGCCTTCCACAGGTGGAAGTGTTAGCTTGTCACAAGTGCTTGGGGCCGGGGGTGGCGGGGGAGTAGCCAGTTAGAGCTGCAGCCCTTGTGGGCCTTGGGTCTTCACTGGGAGGGGCTGAGGGCAGGTCTAGCTGGGGTTGGGGGGATGGGGGATCCTGATGAGGGTGGAGGGCTTGAGTTAGGGAGGGCTGCGCTCTGTGGCCTGCTTGGGGCCTGTGGCCCGCTTTGGCCCACCATCCCCCAGCCCCAGTCTGCTTTCTCCCATCGATCAAGGTGGTCCCTAAGGTGGTGGGGCTCCTGGATGCAGACGACAGTGTGGAAAAACATGTTTTTAACCCCTTAAATAATACATCGTTGTTTTAAAAAAAAATCAGCAGTTGAACTGGAAAGGTAAAGCCCTCCACAATCCCAGGTCTCACAGGTAATGGCCATTCACACTTGGTTGTGTGTTTCCGTGGACTCTCTTGATGCCATTGTCTGACCGGAGCACGATGTGCTGTTTGGGAGTTGATCCGGACCACGTCACACGCTGTTCGGGACTGCTTTTTCTGCTCGCTGTATCCCAGAGATCTTTTCCTGTCCATCTCATTCTTTCTAAAGACTGGTGTTTTGTCTCGTGGTTATAATTTCATTCCCTCTTTGTGGGCTTTCTCGACTTCTATTTATGCAGGTGCTTCTAGGACCACTTCACAGTGGTAGAACTGATGAATCCAAGGGTAGAAACATTTGGAATGACATGATTTGTTTTGGTTTGGGCCCTGAAACTAAAAGACCTTTGAATGGGGTCCTTGAACACTGGGCATCTATTTTTCACAGTCCTGGAGGCTGGAGAGGCCAGGGTCAAGGTGCCATATTTGGTATCTGATGAGGGCCCTCTTTCTAGTGCACAGACGCCCGTCTTCTCGTGGTGTCCTCAGGTAGAGGAAGGGGCAAGGGAGCATTGTGGGGTCTCTTTTTTTTTTAAGATTGATTTATTTATTTTATACAAGCACTGGGTACAGTCAGAAGCGCGGGAGGGTGAGAGAATTCACCAGAGCCAGAGCGGGGAGCAGAGCAGGCAGAAGGACCGAAGTACACTGCTGAGGGGAGCAGCGGGCGGCAGGAACGATCTATGCGCCATGTGGGACCCTCGCCCGGTGGTCGGGGATCCAACTGGAGCTGCAGAGGCTACGGGCAGCTTCGCAACCCAGCGCTCAACCGCTGTGCCACTGGGGAGGCCCATGGGTCTCTTTTATTAGGGCATTAATCCCACCCCCACTCACGAAGGCTCTGCTCTCCTGACCTAGCTTCACGCTGAAGCCCCACCTCCTGATACCTTTGCATGGGGGGTAGAGATGTCGGCATAGGAACTTGGAGTTAGGAACATTCTATCCATAACAAATTGCTTTACACCCTGTTGGCAGTGCTGGAGAGTGTTGGCTTCATGACACAGATTAGACCAAGCAGTCTAAAACCGGAAATTCAGAACAGACGGTACCTGCACAGAGATGCCGTGCCGCTCTCCCCCTGGGTGTATCCAGAGCCTTCTTTCAGCAGATCTTAACATCTGACTTCAAAAGATGTCTTGGTGCCTCTCGGGCGCAGAGCTGCTCCTGACTTACCAGTTACGTGCGTGCCCATGTGTCCAGAACTGTGGCCGCCCGGGAGGTGCAGCGGAACAGACTTATGCTCTGCGGAGTGTGTAGTCTAGTTGGGGAGTGGGGAGCCGTGATCTCAGATGAGGAGTGTGACTGACCGTCAGTGCTTCAGCCAGGGGCACTGCGTGCCTGCCACGCACCTGCCGGGGGTGCACGTGACGGGGGTCTCCAGATTTCTGGTATATTCGAGGTTTTGAGGAGCATAAGTACCTTTCGTAATTAGGGTAAAGCAGTCAGGAGCTTGTTTAGGAGCTAAGGAGCAAAGCCCTTACATCCTCAGCAGGTGTCCTGGGTCTTGACTCATAGGAGGTGCTAATCTCTTCAGCAGGCATTTCCAGAAACAGGCCGACCTGGCCTTCTCCACAGGGTGGCTGCTGGTGCACCCGACTTGAGTTAAACAGAGCAAGACATTGGGGTGCCATGAAAAGGGGAGTGGCCCTTGTGGCCAGCAGCACTCTGGACTCAAGTGCGGTTCGTGGTCTGGTAGGATGGGGCTGAGGTGCGGGGAGAAGAACTAGAGGAGAGTGTCGGTCTGAAGGCAGGGCTTCCCCAAGGTGCCTCTTGAAGGGGGACAACTGGGCCTGCTCACCAGGGAGCCTGGTCTTATCCGAGTGGAACTAAATACCCTCATTCCCGTCTTGCCCCGCCACAGACGCAGTCCGTGAGATCCGGAAGTACGACGACGTGACGGAGAAGGTGAATCTGCAGAACAGTCCCGGGGCCATGGAGCACTTCCACATGAAGCTCTTCCGTGCCCAGAGGAATCTCTACATCGCCGGCTTCTCCCTGCTGCTGTCCTTGTGAGTGCCCTGGGCGGCTGGCCTGTGACTCTGATCCTCCGGTCTGTGGCCTTGAACCAGACACCCCGTCTGTGTTAGGGGAGCCACGGTTTCCCTTGAGGCCTACCGATTTCCCTCCTGGCACCCCTGCGGCAGGGTGGAGAGTGGGAACAGAGTGAACAGAAAGTCAGGGCACCGGGCTCTGACTCTGCTGTCATCTGCCTCTTCTCGGGCAAATGCATTACCAAATCGCTCTCTGGGCGGAAGTCGAAGTCCATGACCAGACGTTTCCATCCTCTGGGAGAGGGCCTTCGGGGCCCAGGTTAAGAGGGCCCGTTGAACAGGGACTTTTGTGGCTGGGGTCTGAGGCTCACTCTGTCCCTTGGCCTTTCCCGGTGTAGTGATGCCACGGGAGCTTGTGGTGCTCCCGGCAGCCTGAGCAGTTCCCACGTGTGTCCTTTGAAAAGGTTGAGCGCGTTTGTCCGGCTGGGGGATGGTGCAGTGGGGGAGGCCTGGAATCGCGAAGCCTTAGGGGGCAGATCACCCCTGTGATGTGAGGTTGGTCTTGGACCCCTTCTTAGTAAAGGAAACAGTGACCCTCGGGATCAGTGTGGATTCACCAGTAGCCTTCAAGTGATCTGTGCGGTGCTCAACCGCCTGCACCACCTGGGAGGCCCGATCTGTTCGTTGTTAGAATGTTCCAGGAATCTGTACTTGCTCCTAGCCGAGGAGGCAGATTCGGTATTGCCGCTGCGGCCTTGAGGCGCTTCTCCTTTGTGCGATCCCAGCCGTGGAAATGTTCCTCCCAGACTCGATACCCCACGGCCCATAGGTGGCTGGCAGCGAGCCCTTTTCAAACCCAGCCGTCAGCTCTTGTTCCCATCGCAAAAGTCACGCCTGCTTGCTGGGAAAGGAACGCACCCCCAATGGCAGAGGCTGCGGGACTCGGGCAGGGGTGTGTGGCGGCTTCCTCCGGGCCTCGAGCCGGCGCAGCGGGCTCGGTTCGGAGCCTTTTCATAAACCTTTCCATGAAGCGTGACTTTTTTCTTAAAAGAGCCACCGGCTTTTTTGGCCCTGCTTTCTTTGACTTGCCTTTTTCACCCGACAGTACGTCTTGGCGATTTTTCCAAATGACTCACGCAGATCTCGCTGGTTCCCCTTAATGGTCACGTAGCGCCTGCGTGGGTTTTCACCCACTTCCCATTCATGGGTGTGCGAGCTGGTTCCAAGTTTTTCCTGTTAAAAGTCACTCTGCCACGTCTGTGCTTTCCAGCCTGCCCTCTTGCGCGTTCCGTCCCTCCTACTCTCGCTCCGCTCAGTGGCGATGGGGCGCCGGTGTTCTCTCCGCGGGCCGGCCCTCGCCCCCGGCTGAGTCTGCGCTCAGGGCAGTGCTTGCTGGCGCTGCTCCAGCCCATCTCGTCTGGGCCAGGCCTCCGGGCCGCCTGCAGCAGGATTCATCTGGGCCTGGACGTGGTCAGATGCTTTGGAAGCACTTAGCGAACCCTCACTTTCCTCCCATACCCTGTTGGTTCTTTCGGAAACTGCTGTTGCATGGGGGATGTTGCGTGGGAAGCCCTGTCTTGGTGGATGCCCGCTTTCACCTGCAGCACATGACTGACTGGGCACCCCTCCCAGCTGCTGGGCGTCCTTTCAGTGTGGGCACCTCGTGAACTCGAGTTAGATGGGCGTTTGTGTGAGGCGCAGGAAAGAGCTGCCTCGCCCTATTAGGTCAGCTTTGCTTGCACTGTGAGAAATGTCTCCTGGGGTTGCACCTTTGGCCTCCACAAGCATGTGAGCATTACGCTACCTGAGGCCGTGCGGGGCTGCTGTCATAGGAGGAATAATAAGCTCTGTGGTTCGGGGGATGGGCACCTGGATCACCCTCAGCAGACTGTATTGGAGTTACTCTGGTGGGGTGCCCCTAATGCTGTGGGTCACAGCAAACATCCAGGCCTGCCTCTGTTCTCGTGTCTGTCCTTCGGGGGGCTGGCGTCCTGGGGAGGAGGTCGTGAGATTCGCCAGGAGACGGGCGCCTCCAGACCAGGGCTCCTTCTTCGGTGGTGGTGTGCCTCTGGGAACCCTCTCCCCTTGCCTGGAGTGTTCTTACCTGTGCAAGAGAAGGCTTATCTAGGAGGCAGGACAGCCACAGCTGGTCTCTCTGTGTGGGCCGTGAGCACTTGCTGGGCTGTGTTAGTGTGGCAGCCTCCCCCGAGGGCCTGCGAACGAGAGGAGCAGCCCCAGAGCGGCAGGGCCTGAGGTGTGCGGGTTCCTGCGGGCCACAGCTGCCTTCCGCCCCTGTGCAGACAGCAGCCTGTGGGTGTTGGTGTGAGCTGTGGGTACTGCGACGCTGCTTTTTGGTCCAGCCGACTTGTGACCTGCACCGCCAGTGAGCCGAGCTCTCCCGTGTCCTTCCTACTCGCTCTCGTGAGGCTGGCAGCTCAGCTGCCTGAATTCCTTCCAGACCCAAGATGAACGTCAGGTCAGGAGCGTGTAGGCCTTGGAGGAAGATGAAGCTTTCAGTGAACAAGAAAGTGAGTTCTCTGAAAAGCTGCCACAGCCGCTCTTGACATACTTTTTGTCCGTGCCTTTCCAGACTTTTCTACTGCAGTAGCGGCTGCTTGTTACGCCTTCCATGTGCTAGGCATGTAGTAATTTTTACCTTAGTGCTGCAGGGAAGAAACTGAGGTTCAGAGAAGATCAGAGCCTTCTCCGCCCAGAGCTGGTCATCGGCAGAACTGAGAACTCAGTTTGGGGCCGCAGCACCTGGGTGCTTCTGTATGGAAGCTTCATGCTTTTAAGAATGGGGCCTCCTGTCACTGTCACGGAGGAGCTTGCCTTTCTGCCCCACTGAGTTTATCACCAGCCTTGACCTTGTACAAGCAGTCCAGTTCGAGCACCACCACGTGTCCAGCCAGCTCCCTGTCGATGGGTGTGGAGCCCAGCTCCCCAGTTTCTGCATCAGAAGCAGTGGGGACCCCTTGCCATTGTCATTTTATGTGTGCCTCACCCCCTCTGGGTTCTTTGGGCTGCCTGGTGCTGTTCAGAGCGTGGCTTGCCTCTTCCCATCTGCCTGTCTTGTCCATGTTTGCAGTTTCTTTCTTTTTTTTTTTTAATTAAAAAAAAAAGAGATTTATTTATTTATTTATTTATTTATATAAGCACTGGGTACAGTCAGAAGCGCAGGAGGGTGAGAGAATTCACCAGAGCCAGAGCGGGGAACAGAACAGGCAGACTGACAAAGTACACTGTTGAGGGGAGCAGCGGGCGGCAGGAGAGGTCTGTCACAACATGTGGGACCCTCGCCGGTGGCCCGGGATCGAACTGGCGCTGCAGAGGCTGCGGGCAGCTCTGCAGCCCAGCGCTCAACCGCTGCGCCACCAGGGGAGGCCCTCTTTTTAAAAAAAATAAATAAATAAATAAAAAGATTTATTTATTTATTTATACAAGCACTGGGTACAGTCAGAAGCGCGGGAGGGTGAGAGAATTCGCCAGAGCGGGGAGCAGAACAGGCAGACCGACGAAATACACTGCTGAGGGGAGCAGTGGGCGCGGCAGGAGAGGTCTGCGTGCCATGTGGGACCCTCACTGGCGGCCCGGGAACGAACCGGTGCTGCAGAGACTGCGGGCAGCTTCGCAGCCCAACGCTCAGCCGCTGCGCCACCTGGGAGGCTCTCTTCTTTTTTATTTTAAATTCATTTTATTTATGCATGCAAGAGCTGGGGTACAGGCCAGAGATGCGGGGGGTGAGAGAATTCACCAGAGACAGAGTGGGGAACAGAACAGGCAGACTGACGAAATACACTGCTGAGGGGAGCAGCGGGGAGACAGGAGAGGTCTGTTGCGCCCTGTAGGTTGCTCCTTGGCCGGGGATCGAACTCGTGCTGCAGAGGCTGTGGATTACTTCATAGTGCGGCGCTTAACCCCTTGCGCCACCACGGAGGCCCCATGTTTGCAGTTTCACTGACGGGCCAGGTTCAGATCAGGGGCGCATGGGCCCAGCATGATGGTGCCACAGTTTGTGTCTGATGCCATGCGGTCGGAGGGACCTGGTGGGCCTTCCCATCAGTGGGCGTCACGGTCGGAGCCAGGTTCCTGCTCAGCAGCTGGGTGTGGGATGGGACGGCGCAGGAGTCCCATCCGGCCTCCAGTTGGAGGCCCCTGGAGTGAGCCGCTGCAGCCTGAGCCAGGGCACCGTAATAGCATAGGAGCGAGGGGGACAGAGTGGAGAGGTGCCAGTGGGCTCTGGCAGCCAGCGTGAGAGAGGGGAGGAGCCAGTGGGCCGACCAGCCCTGCAGCTAAGGTACGGCTAAGGTGCAGTGTTGCTGCCCTGGGCGCCCGCGGGGTGGCACCTGTGGCTGACCCCGGGAGGATGCCTGTAGGCCTCGTGGGAGGGAGGAGCAGCCAGGGCCTGGGCCAGGAGGGGAAGTGTGCGCTGGGGGGTGGCCACTCCCCGGAAGCCGGCTAGAGCAAGGGGAGGAGAAGGAAAGGCGGGGAGAAGTAGGACTGGGGCGCAGTTTGCAGGTTAGTGGACAGGGGGACGTGGCAGCAGGCAAAGCTCCAAAATGGGGTCAGGATCAGAGCATGGTAGGGGAGAGTTCAGCTGTTGAAATTTGGGTGAGGGGGAAGCTGGGCTTCTGCCACGGGCTCTGGGGCCTGGCCCGTGGCTCCTGCCTCTGAAGCGTGTGGGCTCTGACTTGGGGCTGTTTGTTATCTTCTGTGGGCCGGGCCACAAAGTTTGAGGAGCACTGTCCCAAACCAGAAGCTTGGGGGTGCGGTGCTCTTTTTTCTCATCCCACGTGGGTCCCCCCCTCCACTGCTCATGTATGTATGTATATATATACGTGTAGTCTTTTCATTTTGGTACCGCGCGCAGAAAGTCACGTTGGTCTCTGCACTGCCTGGTGTCCTGGTCAGCAGTGTTCCACTCATGTTGCGCAGCCGTGCCGCAGACGCTGCATCGGGCAAGCCTCATGTGAACTGGGACAGTGGGGGGCCACCGGCCGGCCTGGCTTCTGCACTGC